TAGTAGGTATCAAGCAAGTGTGCTTGCAGTAGTTACCCAATGAGTGTTTTGAAAAGGCTCGGAAAGGCGGCTCTTCTATCTTTCACTGTGACTGTGCTGCGCCTTTCACGCAGGCCTGGCGTGTTTTTTTTTGTTCTGTTTTTTTTTTGGTCAAGCAAAGTTCACAACAAATTTTTTTGCAATTTTGCCGATATTGCTATATGAAGTAGACTAAGCAATGTTAAAGCCATTGCTGCAGAAAGTGCTGAACATTTAATTACAGAAGATATGCAATGAATATAACAAAAAAAAATAGTAATGAAAAGGACAGTGGTGTAAATCAATGGAGGTTAGGGGCAGGGTTTCCGTTTAATAGATTCAAAAAGGAGCCATAAATCAAGCTAAAAGTAGCCAAAGTAGCCGTGACCTCCAAATTTAGCGCCAAAATTGTTGCCAAGTAGGAAAAAGAAAAATATATTGTGTATAGTGTTCAACAGCAAATAACATGACTTGGAGTGAGCAAAAACGGGATATACATCACTCCCTCTTGCTTGGTTTCCAAGCCGCTGGTAAGTTGCACACAAGTTGAACAATTATTATGCTTTCACTGTACATGCGTACACTTTGTCTACAATAGAGTTCTTGCAAAAGTTTTTCCGGGCCAACACCTAAGCAGGAGTGTTAAATTGTTTTTTCCTGAATCCGTTGACGGCGATTGGCACAAAGTCACAATATAGTACCAGTACATCTTCAAGTAGGAATATCCGGTCGTGTATGAGCAGTCCAGTTATGAATTGGCACGTGCTCTTTTCGTGCTCTTCATCTTCTGTTTCGTTCCCAGAGCATGTGCGCCAATTTGTCTTTGTTTTCATTTTCTAAATAACCGGCCCCCTTAATCATGCGATTCGCCAAAACGCAAAACAAACTATTGAATGCGAGAAATTTACGTGGAGATTATGACGTGTGCGTGCCCCGGGATCTGTTCAGGCGTATTCAGCATTCAAACGCATGAACTTCGAGCCAATAAAATGCTTTGTTGGGCGCGTCGGTTCATTCTGGAATAGATTCGAGCGCAAACGGACAACACATAAGAAGAGTTTTACATTTCCATGTGTTTCCCGAATAAAACCAGTATGTAGTAAGCGTTCGTATACTCGTCTTGTTTGTAGGCGCTCAAATCTATTCCAGAACTTCGAGGTTTATTGTTAGCCGAATGGGCGGAGGCAACCATCGCCGTTCGTTTATCTGAAAGCTCGCCATGATTTCATAGCTACCTGAACGTAGCGCGTGGTCGTGGGATGCTGCAAATTACTTCTGAATAGTCGTGCGGCAATGCAGCAGTCGAATACACAAAAGGAGGTAGACAACACTCTAAAAAATATCGAGTAAAAAGGGTGTCTTTATGTCCCACAACAATAATCGTCAGGCTTGCGTGCGCTTCCTTTCTTGAAAACTCGGCGCTGGCCACTTTCCTATCGGGAATGCAATGTAACCCTGATAACGGGCATGTCGATCGTGACCGGATTGTACCGGGCGCGGGGCGATAGCGCAAAGATGGAACGCAATATAAATGAAGATTATTGTTGTGGGACAAAAAGACACCCTTTTACTCGCTCTTTTTTTAGAGTGAATACAAACGCTGCATACGAACGTTGATGAAACGAAACCGAAACCGTCCCACTGCTGTTGTTTAGTCGAATCTCTGCATCATCCAACAACAATGGGATTCCGCCTCTCGCGGATCCTCGCTCTCGCGTTACCTCTGAGAGCCTCACGTTGTTTGTGTGTGGCGGACGAGAATGGACGACAAGAGAAAGCTAGCTGAGCTAGGGAAGGAGATGGAACTGAGTGGAGAGGCTTTGCTGGCATGGGTGAGCACTGAGAAAAAAAGAATGAGGAACCAGAGAGCGAAAGATCGAGAGGAGGCACGTCTAGCAGCACAGGCGGAACATGAGCGTGAAATAGCTCGCATGGAGGCTGAAAGGCTCCTCCTCGAAGAGCGACGTCTGTTCATTGTTGTGTGAGAAAAGTTGTTTTCCCCCTAAACAACTTTCTTGAGCAGGGGGATATTGTACGGAAAGGACTTAAAGACGCCGAGGAGCATCAAACCAGAACTGAAGAAGACGAGCGGAGAGCAGGTGGCACGAAGGCGACAACAAGAAATGAAGAAGAGAAGAAGGCACGTGCGATTACGAGGCAACTGTGCGCCAATCAGCTGATGACCAGTGGTGGCCCATAGAGGTGGCGTGCCACGATTGGGCCACGGGCGACCATCACGTGGCAGTGGGCTTTGTGGCTGGGGACGAGCCGAAGCAGCGGCAGACGGGAGACAGCGGGCTGAAGCGTCGGACGCAGGTGACCCAGGTTCCGGCCAGGGAACGCGGCCGTCCACGCTGCTGCCGTCCAACTACCAGCTGGGGCGGCATTGCCGGCACGAGTACTGCATCTCGGGGCGCGGCCTGGCCTGCTGTTCTCTTCCTTGCCGAGGGCATCGCGGATCTCGGCGAGGCGTCTCCACGGTCAGCCGTTCGACACAGCGATGAACGTGGCCTGGCTAATGGTCACGGATGCGTCGAGCATCGCGTCTCGGCGCACGATCTTCGCTGGACGGGCTGGCCATGCCCCGCATGGAGCATCGCGTCTCCGATGCGGGTTGACTGCTCCGTGGCCGCACCCATGCCATCAAGCGCCGGTGTCACCAGAGCGTCGCACTTCGGCAAGGGACGAGCGAGATGTTCTGCCGGGCGAGACGTGGGAGTGTGCACAGAGGATCACGGAGCCGGGCGAGGATTCAGGGTGGCCGAGGATTCAGATGCCAGGGGAGTTGCTGGCTGAATCTAGGATCGCCGAGCGGTGCCGAGCGACGCACCAAAGACACAGTTGGGCTCAAACCTGGGTTCGCTGGGTGCCAGCCAGTATAATACCACTGAGCTACGCTGGTGCTTGTGACTTGTTGGCAAACTTGCCCGAGCCAGGCTTGATGTCGGAAAGCAATCACGTTAATACGACTTATAAAGCGTTTTAAAACAGCGAAAGAACAACCAGTCGTTGCACAATGCGAATAGCGTAACGAGTGGGCCGTCCAATGCTCCAACCCATTACAAAAGCTTGTTCTTGTTCCCGATTAACTGTGGTGCATACCCACTTCAGCCATAACGCCTCATCGTCGTCAGCCACTGTATGAACAATTGGCACGTAATCATTTGCAAGTGTTTAGCGGATACCACGCTTCTCAGAAGAATGACGAAAAATAGCATAGCGAATGCCGACCTACTACTCAAAAGTTTATTATTAATGCCCTAGTAGGTATCAAGCAAGTGTGCTTGCAGTAGTTACCCAATGAGTGTTTTGAAAAGGCTCGGAAAGGCGGCTCTTCTATCTTTCACTGTGACTGTGCTGCGCCTTTCACGCAGGCCTGGCGTGTTTTTTTTTGTTCTGTTTTTTTTTGGTCAAGCAAAGTTCACAACAAATTTTTTTGCAATTTTGCCGATATTGCTATATGAAGTAGACTAAGCAATGTTAAAGCCATTGCTGCAGAAAGTGCTGAACATTTAATTACAGAAGATATGCAATGAATATAACAAAAAAAAATAGTAATGAAAAGGACAGTGGTGTAAATCAATGGAGGTTAGGGGCAGGGTTTCCGTTTAATAGATTCAAAAAGGAGCCATAAATCAAGCTAAAAGTAGCCAAAGTAGCCGTGACCTCCAAATTTAGCGCCAAAATTGTTGCCAAGTAGGAAAAAGAAAAATATATTGTGTATAGGGTTCAACACAAAATAACATGATTTGGAGTGAGCAAAAACGGTATATACATCATTCCCTCTTGCTTGGTTTCCAAGCCGCTGGTAAGTTGCAAACAAGTTAATCAATTATTACGCTTTCGCTGTACCTTCGTACACTTTGTCTACAATAGAGTTCTTGCAAAAGTGTTTTCGGGCTAACACCTAAGCAGGAGTGTTAAATTGTTTTTTTCTTGAATACGTTCACGGTGATTGGCTCAAAGTCACAATATAGTACCAGTACATCTTCAAATAGGGATATCCGGTCGCGGATGAACAGTCCAGTTATGAACTAACACGTGCTCTCTTCGTCCTCTTCATCTTCTGTTTCGTTCCCAGAGCACGTGTTCCAATTTGACATTGTTTTCCTTTTATAAATAACCTGCTGCGTTAATCATGCAATTCGCCAAAACGCGATAACGAACTAACGAATGTGAGAAATTTACGTGAAGATTATGACGCGTGCGTGCCCCGGGATCTGTTAAGGCGTATTCAGCACTCAAACGCACGAACTTCGAGCCAATAAAAGGCTTTGTAGGGCGCGTCGGTTCATTCTGGAATAGATTGGAGCGCAAACGGACAACACACGAGAGAAGCTTTATATTTCCATGTGTTTCCCGAATAAAACCAGTACGTAGTAAGCGTTCGTATACTCGTCCTGTTCGTAGGCGCTCAAATCTATTCCGGAACTTCGAGGTTTATTGTTAGCCGGATGGCCGGAGGCAACCATCGCCGTTCGTTTATCTGAAAGCTCGCCATGATTTCATAGCTACCTGAACGTAGCGCGTGGTCGTGGGATGCTGCAAATTACTTCTGAATAGTCGTGCGGCAATGCAGCAGTCGAATACACAAAAGGAGGTAGACAACACTCTAAAAAATATCGAGTAAAAAGGGTGTCTTTATGTCCCACAACAATAATCGTCAGGCTTGCGTGCGCTTCCTTTCTTGAAAACTCGGCGCTGGCCACTTTCCTATCGGGAATGCAATGTAACCCTGATAACGGGCATGTCGATCGTGACCGGATTGTACCGGGCGCGGGGCGATAGCGCAAAGATGGAACGCAATATAAATGAAGATTATTGTTGTGGGACAAAAAGACACCCTTTTTACTCGCTCTTTTTTTAGAGTGAATACAAACGCTGCATACGAACGTTGATGAAACGAAACCGAAACCGTCCCACTGCTGTTGTTTAGTCGAATCTCTGCATCATCCAACAACAATGGGATTCCGCCTCTCGCGGATCCTCGCACCCGCAGTTTCTCGCTCGCTCACTTCGTTATTTACACATTTGCACAGCTGAGACAGCTTGAGATTACGTGTGATTTCTCCCTGCACGGATGCTTGTCGTCGGCTCACCTGAGTTATCATGATAACGTCGGCCACATTGCTAGTGCTATTTTTACAATGTGCAAATGCGTTCGTCAATGTGGAGGAACTTAGGAGTTTCAAATATGAGGTTGACATCGTGAGTACACCTGTGAAGATCAGCGATGTAAGTATGCAGGTATTCATGTTTACGCCATTTACTCTACAGTGTATCAGTGGTTTCGGTGCGTTTTAAGATGTCTATAGGGGCGCCGATGCTGGTCCACGTTTAACTAAACCTTCTCATTGAAAGCTGAAAACGGCCGGCCGCCAGTCAAAACACAGGTGCCGTAGGAAGCTGCGTATTATTATCGCTAAACCGAAGTTCGCAATATTCTTTGCCGCGCAAGAACTGCGGAAATGGTTTTTCTCATTATTTTTTCTATAAAGTTATTTAGCTAGCAGTGAAAGAACTGGCTGGCGTCGCTATACAGCCAGTGCGTACTATGTGTGGGAGTAATTCCCTTAAGCATGACGTGTTCCTTACAACACTTGTCACACTGGGCATACCAATCTTCGCTGAGACCAATCTACATTTCCAATTCAAGCGCGCTGAGAGAGGCACGACTGAAGTGAACGTGCTTTTGGCATGGCAATGTAGCAGTGACAGGGCTCAAGTAATGGAAGTGCCTCTCCGAAAGAGGTATGTTGCTGCGTGCTGTTCCGAAGTTTGATTTTTCTTAGCAGCCGCCCAGAACCTGCACCAATATGGCACTGAGTGAATGAGGAACTTTAACCGTGTGACCAACTGGTAGGTCCTAAAGAAGACAAAGACAGTCTGTGTATTGCCATCTTAGCATGATAGTAAGCTGCATTGTAGCATGCAGCTTTATAGGCTTTGATCTCATTATTTTAGCTAGCATTTATATCATTTAGTTGCTTTATTCCTTTTTTTTATTACTGACATGCAGGCTATTTCAGCTTAGTGAATCGTGAAAAATGACTGTTTGATAAAACATTTTGTTAATTGTATTTCCTTGCAGTTTACTTTGATTGTTTTCTGGGAAACATCTTTCATTACAAATATTGATATTCGAGACGTTCTGACTATGCTTTGAGCTCCACTAGTTGCACAGCATATTTCTTCATCTCTTAAAACACTGACAGCTGCTCCAAGTGAGCAGCTTTCTTGAAAAAAAAACAAAAAAAAAACACATCACTGCTCTAAAGCCGTACTTTTTCTGCTGCGAACTCCGCTATAGAAGGTGGAAGGTCACTTCCTCTATGCTGCTTGTGCGTGCCGGGCTAAATTGAAGCGGGAGGTAATTTTTACTAGAAGTGTGCTTTGTCACGATGTCTCGCTTGTCTTGCCTCTAGGATATTGGTGCATCGGTAATGCTCATGATGACAAAGTTTGGACAAGAGTATCAGTGCTCCCTGCCTGAGAATCCCTACCCGACGGAGCATGCAGAGTCTGATGATCCTGAAGCGGAGGCACCGGACGTCTTGAAGCTACTGGAGCCACTAAGAAATGCACCTTGTTTGACTAAGGTATGGCAGTGCACACCATATCAGCAGCTTGAGCTGAAACTGTTGCTATGTTGCGAACTCAATGCATTCTTTAGTGTCAGGCATGTGTGGACATAAGGGCGTTGATGAGACATCTGTGCTAATACCATCTCGGAAAATATTTTCTGTCACGAACGTTCGCCACTCATTCCCACTGCACACGTTTCATATCACTCTCATGACTTTGAGTCAAAAGCCTTTAATGGCTCATACTCGTAACATCCGATTTTCTGTCCATCCACACCCTGAAATGAGTGCCTGCTGTCAGTGGCGAATTCAGAGGAAGGCGGTAGAGGTGGTCCCCCCCCCATAAAGACTCTGTCAGCACTATCCCTCCTCAATTCAGTGCTCGTAATCTACCTCCTATCACGAATAAGGACAAATGAGTGAAACCACTTTGAGCACACATCAACAGTATTTGTGCTGTAAAGGGTTTTTCTACTGGTAAAAGCAAAAGTCATGACAACGCCCCCCTTTCCGGTATCAGTTTAGGTGACCCCCCTCCTCTAGAATTAGTGGCTGAGTTCGCCCCCTGCCCGCTGTGGCCTCTCCCCCTCACACTATCTCGTCAATCATGTGATGGCATAGCGGCATGCATGGCAATGGTCCTTCATCAGAGGTTGCGTTGTAGCAGTTGAGTCAATCGGATAACTCCCAAGCAGCCTGATGATGATTCCACTTTCAGTGGAATGGGCACAGGCTTTTGCCAAACGCACTTCGAAATTCACGAATTGTCTTTCAATTTGAATACTTACATGTTTCACCTGCCTTTAGTGCGAGGAATTTCAGGCCCTTATATGGACACTGAACATAACCATTAGTCAAACTCGTTATGTACAAGTTCTCTTTGGCCATAAAATGGCCCTTGCTCTAATAAACATCATATATCATCATCCTCATGTTTAACTTGTTAAAGTAATTAAGTGCATAATTTTCTCTTGGTTACTGTTGATTATTTGTATTTAACAACCTAATTATTCATGTCTGCATATCATATTTTTTATGTGGAAGACATTTAATGTTATCTACTCTATTTAATTTATAAAATAAGAAACAAAACATGCGTGCATGATGCCAAGATGATTAATCACTTGTATTTGTCTTTCCAGACGAGAAACTGGTGGACATATGAACTGTGCTATGGAAAGTCGATTAAGCAGTTTCACATAGAAAGTAAGAAATTTTCTAGCTCTATTTGTCTGTTTGTTTAGTGTTTTACTAACAGGTGTGAACAAACTTGCTAAAAATACCTGCAAGCACCCCCATGTTCAGTTTGTAAAACTGATTTATCAAAAATCGCTGGAAGCTTTTCCGACTTAAGTGATCGCACAATAATGCTTGTGAAACGAATTTATACTATAAGAAATTGAGTAGCTTATGAACAAAAAGCTGCATATCTTATTTTTGCGGTAATACATTTAAATGAATGCCTGTTTTAATAGCATATAATGAGGTATTTGTGCTTTGTTTTAATTAGTAAATGCTTAAACCTGGTTTATTGCACTTTCATGCTATTGTTGAGTGGAAGTTCTTAAAGAGAAGAAGTTATGTTTCAGGTAATATATAACACACAACTTATATGAGAGTAGCTTAACACTGGTAGTTCGAAAAAATGAAGCACAGGCAGCAATTTTATGTGCAGTTTGGTGGACAACAAATGTAAATCTAGGGCTGAGATTTTTTAGCTCAAGAGGTGAGCTAACCGTATTGAGTGAGCTCCCAACTTTTGTACTTCAACTTTTGCCTTCCTGTCATGCTTTCAAAAGTCTTCACATTTTTTCTTAGTGAATATGCAGTTTGATGAGTTGACGTACTAACGATCGAGTGTCTAAATCCAAATGTGGTAATACTGGAACATTTTAATTTTCTCTGATTGAGACATTCATTGCCTGTGTTCTCGTTTCAGATGGCAAACCAGAAGGAGCAATCATATTTCTTGGCCTCTACGACTACGATTTTGACTGGAGCAATGAAACAAACTTGGTATGCTGTTCACATGTTATGTTTGCTGTTCTCCCGGCAGATGAATGCACGTGAAAATACCTTTTTATTGAAACTGTCCTTCCTATTTCTAGGAACAGTTCAACAAAACAGGCCAACAAAAGTACCACAGCCAGGTTTACAGCCACGGCTCCAAATGCGACATTACTGGAGTCCCGAGGAGAGCGGAAGTCAGGGTGAGTTGAGGGGTTCTCTTACGTTTAAATATCTACTATATTCCAAGTTTTAAAAGCATTAATTTTCTCAGAATTTAACTGGTGGTACGAAATTTAAGTACAGTAGGAACTGGAATACCAGACGAGCACTCCCGTTCCTTCATGTGTCCTGGTCTTTTGGGCTACCTGCTCAGTAATAGTAATATCTAGGTTTTTACGGGCCAGAACCAGGATGTGATTACCTATTAGGCATGCCGTAGTGGAGGGCTCTGGAAATTCCAACCATCTGTTGTTTAACGTGCACTGACAACATTGCAGAGTGCACAGGCGTCTAGCATTTCCGCTTCATTAAAACGAGATCGCTGTGCCCAGCATCGAAACCACGGCTCTCAAGTCAGCAGCCAAGCACCACAGCGGAAAACCACTTGTTAAATTTTGAATCCCTGCAAGCTCACCCAAATTTATGTTCCCTTAGTCTAATTCGTTACTTTGTTTTTGGATCTGCTGAGGTAAGTTTCACGGCAAAGCAGGCTGCACAATGTGACATCCCCCAAAACATGCCTTTTTGTTATGTTTATGAATCGCATCATATAAATATCTAAAATATTGAATATGAATCGAAGTGCACTCTAAAGAAATCCATATGGTCGAAATAATTTCAAGCCTGTCACTGTAACATGCATATCCCGGTTTCAGATTGTAAGAACCCCGTAATTTTTTTTCAGTTTATATTTTGTTTGAAACATTAAATATTTGCAGTTGTTAAATAGTATCTATATTTGTTTGAGTGTAAGATATGTTGAAATACAGTGTGTGAAAAAAATGTAGTGCAGTATAATCACGAAAGAATGAAACAAATGCCACTTAAGACAACTCTACAGTCACCTAAAGTTTTTAACTATGCTATCTGTCTTCGCCGTACGACTTAATTTAGTTCTGAATAGAGCGAGGGCAAGGTGGATACCCACAAAGCACATCCCTCAGAACAATTTTTTTCACCTTCGTTTCATGGTAGGGCACTAACATGGAAAAGTTGCTCTTGCGAGTTCCATTTGGGCAACTGTACACACTTTGAGTGGTAATTATAGGAATGCAACCCAGTCTGTGTTTATGTACTCTATCTCACATGTCACAAACAGTGATTTGTGCGAAAAAAAATGTGCAATTAAAATCTTTATGTTGCTGCATTCTGTATAAGAGTATTGGAGTGTTTCTTCAGCTGTTTGCTCATATAAATTATTCTATGAGCTTCTTTTTCTTTAATCTAGTACTTCTGCGATGAAGAGTCTACCGATTACATTGACAGCGTGGAAGAGCCAGAAACTTGTAGCTATGTCTTCACGGTGCACACATCGAGGGTGTGTGCGTTTCCGCCATTGAAGCGGATATCTTCGTCCAAGCCTCACACCATCTCCTGCAGTCCCAGGCTGACCGAAAAACAGTACCAGAAATACCTGGAAGTCAAAGAGAGTACGTCACTATGAATTTGTCTTCATGCATGCTTATAGAGCATAATCTACAGGGGGGGGAAGAGTGAGGGGAAATAGGGGTACCAACTCTAATCATCTAAAGGGAGTGCCGATTCTGCCCCATGCCTGTACTCAGTGGGAATGTTCACATTATTTTTAATGTGCAAGGTTATGACTGTGCTTTCTTTGACTATAATGGTGACCAAGGGCCCCTGATGTTGCATCTAAAGAACTGCTAGCTTCTCGCCTTTTTTTCAGCTTCTCGCATCACTGGGAAATTACGCCGATTTGTGCTGCTTTAAAATAACTATAGTGTCGCCCAGGGTGCTATTTGTAAAAACGTCTACAAAAAGCTAAAAGAGCCCTTTCTCACTGCATAAATATAGGTGCTCGTTTGGGAGGACTGCAGGCGACCAACATTGAGCCTATCATTAGTATACTTCAGTAAAAATAATGAAAATTTTCACCTATGCTTTCCTTTACCTTATCTTATGCCCCTGCATGATTATAGCTAACGAAAATAAGACCCCCTGGTTTTTGCCCTTTCTTTATCATTATTAAGATGTTACATCTCACTTACAAAATGTTTAAATGATAGTTCTTACGATATAGGTTGGTTTATGCTGACATCACTGAGAAACAAAATATATTTACTTCGTTTTATCAGGCAGTTTTTAAACCTTTGTTTGTTACATTTTAGCTTAAATTCACTGTCAGTGCAACTTATTTCCTTCTGTGTGCATACATTATATTCATTTATACATTACTCTGTCGTTCAGGCATCCATTAGAATCGAGTAGCGAGTTTGCTTGCCATCTGCTGAATTGTTCCTTGGTTATGTTCATCACAAGATGCACAACTTCAGTTATACACTTCAGACTTCCTTTGTAAAGACGTGATATTTTTTTTCTGGCTGTTATTAGATGAAAAGAAATTGGAGGTAGAGAAGAGAAAACTGTGGCTGCTCGAACAGCAGAAAAACCTGGAAGCCATCAAATCTTTCGTGAAGAAGGATCCCAGCAGTTATGAACCTGGAGAAACCTGTGGTGGACATAGAAAATGGTGTGGAGAAACCTGTGGTAGACATTGAAAATGGTGAGTGTCGGTCGGCTGACTGACACACCTTGTAAGGGCACTATTCACCTTTTCGTCGGTAGTATGCTTATCTAATGAGTGCTCAAATAATTCAGTCTGCTTCCATGTATACAACGAATGTAATGTGCCATAACAAGTGTTAGGACTAAAAATACACTCAGCATTGACATTCGAGCTTTGTTGGAGTAGACTGCTGAAATTCATGAAGCGGGGTCTGACTAAGTTTTTTAAAAAAGAGAGAATGTAGTGAGCTGCAGTTTATGCGAGTTAGCGCAAGCTGTTCTTTGACATCTGAGGACCACGTCAGTGCTAGAAAATGTGAAAAGCTGTGAGGACGACTTACAATTGGCAGTTTCTATGGAGGTTTATGCATTTCATCTTCAGATAAAGGATTCAAATCTTAAGCACATATCATAGCATTTTCTTTCTTTAAACCTGTAGAGCCAGGTTGTAAGAGATGGACACGTCTTTTCAGTAACGTCTGCTTTATTCTGTCAACCAGAGAGTCGAATATAAAACAGGTGCATGCAGTGCACCAGAAGTGGCAAGAGTGAAAGAGACGAAGGAAAAACAGAGAGGAGAGCAGCACGTTGCTTGGAATGCTGCCCCGCAGGGTTTTTATGACCACGGGGGTGCGCAGTGGTGGCCACGTCGCCACAAACCTTATTCCTTCTTTTTTTTGTTCTATTCCTTACACTTAGTAGCTGATCCTTGAGTCTCGTGTGGTATGCAACGATACCCAATACCTAGTGGTACCTCACTGCGGTATCATCGGGTCGCCAATTATCTTGTCACACTTTTTTTGCGGAGGAGAACACCCTCTGTACTTGTAGAACAAGGAGCGAGTGAGCGGCAAAGCGGGGCTGGGATGCGGGAGCTGGCATTGATGCTGCTGGATCATCTGGTGCTTCATTTGAGGACAGCCGCGCAAAAGTTGTCAGTTATCCTAATTACAGATAGTTGTAAGCCTTGAGACATTGTTTGCATGTATCTACTCCAGTCAAGTTTAAGTATAATTCCGCTTTGCTTCGCAAGAATCTGTCTTGCTGTCAACTTGTTCCAGTGCAACAATGAGCAGCACACCTTGGAATAACACCAATGCACGGCTAACCATGCCACAGCTTCCTTGTAGATAACATGTTCCCAAGCTTACCATAATGCGAGCGTGCCTACCCTGAACAAGTGCCCCCTTCCCATTTTCGGGAGACTTGAAATGTGCGCCAGCGACCTAGCGAGCGTCTCCCCATGTTCTCCTTGTCATTTCTCTGCCACAGATTGCTGCGGTACCAGTTTCTAAAGAACCCAAGTTTGAGAGCATTTAAATACGTGCACGATTCTTAGTAACTTTACAGTGTACTAGTTGTGGTGCCTTGGGGTCGCATTTAGAGTTGTTCCGAATTCTTGGAATGTTTCAACGTTTTTGCACCCTTGCCATAACGCATGAAATTTCACACAAGAATTCCCTCCGTTTCCGTGAACAGTAAATGCAAGCATATTCAATAATGCATATCATTGGAAGCACAACAGGTGTGCATTTTTTATAGGCTCTTCTTTGCCACCATCTTGAATATTGGACTGCACCCGAGCAAAGCCCCCCTCCAAATCTTGTTGAGTTATCTTTCACCTTAGGGGAATTGCTTGCACAAGATATTACGGTATATGCCAGTAGTTCTCAGCTGTCAATGTGTCAGGGTTCTCCTTGTGGACTCTTTGAAGAGACTGGTTTTTCAGCGATTAGTCCAGATGGCTAGGCTCCAGTAATCCACAAGGTTCCACACCCCTTGGTGTCAGGTTTTGCGGAGGGGAAGGAGGCAGATGCACTCGATACTGTATTAAAAGGCAGACATAAAGAAAATGTAACGCCATTTCGGCTGGTGTGGCAAGTTTAGTTTCTAATTGAGGCATTGGGGCAGCCGAGGCAATGTTGTTCAGATTGTCTGCGTTTGTTGGAGAAGGACCTGGAACTATAGTTGTATACCTACTTTACTGAATAGATTCAAAAGATATTGGCTAAAGTTTATTGGACTCATCAATGATTTGCAACTCTATACTTTGTTTCTGAAATATTAGAATTTTGACTGAAGTACACAAATCTTAAGTTGATTGAAATTATAACCTGCTTTATGGAAATGTGTCTCTGGCTTTGACATTTTCTTTGCTGTTAGCATGCTATGCCAATGCCTGGCAGACGAATTTCGTGCTGAAACAGCATGCAAAGTTAAAAAAATTAAAAAAAAAAGAAATGTGTGGCAAGGATGAGGTAGAAGCCAGTTGCCGTCGATTTTTTCCAAAAGGTCCAGTCGCCCTTTAAACTGGCCACTCTGTATTTCAAATGTTCATAGCGAACATCCAAGGTGTCACTGTGAACTTTTCAAGTAAAGTGGGGGTGTTTGGCATATCTTGTTATTGTTGTTCTGCACCTGCAGACCTCAGTACAGATAACCTCCATTACACATCAGTGAGCAAAGCTGTGCTGCTTTTGCTTTTTCTCTCCTGCCTCTAGAAAACCTTGTTCCTTCATCTCATTACAGTGCGTCTAACCTTTCTTATTCTCAGTTGCATCACATGTTCGATTAACAGTCTTGTGGACATGTTCTTCACTTAAACGTGTTCTGTTAAAACTCCAGATGCTATGTGGTAGTCTTACGTAGATGAACACTATTAAAAAGACACTAAAGTCAAATAACAATTTATGTCAGGGTGAAAGCTTAATGTATGACATCTAAAACGACAATATTGTTACGAGTGACTGTGTTTATTTAAAGATGAGGTGAAACGGCGTTGTGAAAGAGCAGCGTACTTCTGAGACAGGCCTAGAACGCTTCACCCAACCACACAGTCCAAGCGCCGCTCCACTACTCTTGTTCTTCTTCCGCGCCCCGTAGGCTCGCGCATCTTCGTTCGAAGACAATGTTCGAAGGTGCGCTAGTTGACGTGCTTCTTCAGCGCGACACAACGTCTGAGCGATGGACAGATCTTCCCGATGCGAGAAAGGTAATAGAGTGTCCAGAAAACTCTGTGGATTTCGTGCATAAAGCAGAAAGAAGGGCGAATGTCCAGTAACTTCATGCTTGGCGGTGTTATACGCGTAAGTAACAAACGGCAAGACGGCATCCCAGTTCCTGTGGTCAGCATCAACGTACATCGATAGCATATTCGTGAAAGTTCGATTTGTTCTCTCAGTAAGACCGTTAGTTTGTGGATGGTAAGGGGTGGAGTGGTGATACGAGGAGCCACAGAGGCGCAAAATTTCTTCAACGACATCGGCGATAAATTGTCGTCCACGGTCACTGGTGACAACCCGTGGAGCACCGTGACGCAGTATGACCCGTTGTAACAGAAGAGAAGAAACAGCGGCTGCTGTGGCTGATGTCAGTGCGTCCGTTTCCGTATAACGCGTTAAATAGTCCACGCACACTATAACATATCGGTGGCCTGATGGGGTCTTAGGAAGGGGTCCGAGCAAGTTGATGCCGACTTTTTCAAAAGGGGATGTCGGTGGTGGGATGGGCTGCAAATAACCTGCCAGGGCAGTGGTGGATGGCTTGTGGCGCTGACATATAGCGCAGCTGGCGGCGTGCTGTATTGTGGTCTTCCACATTTTTGCCAGTAGAATCTCTCACGTAGTCGATGTAGCGTACGTGTGAAACCGAAATGACCGGATGTTATGTCATCGTGCACAGAACGAAGGACGACCTGGCGCAGGCTTTCCGGCACCACTAGTAGCAACGGGAGGCCATCGGCTGAATAGTTTCTTTTACACAGCAATCCATTTGAAATTTTAAAGTGCTTGTCGACGGAGTTATGTGCAGCTTCGAGCAAGGGTTTCAGAGCTGCTGGTATTTGGGAAGTCGGACAAGACAAAAACTAAATAGTCGTCAATGTCATCGTCGTCAGCGTTGGTGTGAACTGAAGGAAGGCGGGATAAGCAGTCGGCATCTGTGTGACATCGTTCGCTCTTATAGGTAAAAGAAAAGCTGTACTCTTGGAGGCGCAACGCCCAACGAGCCAGCCGGCCAGACGGGTCACGAAGTCCCACAAGCCAGCATAGTGAGTGGTGATCGGTCACTATTGTGAACTCATGGCCATGTAGATACGGTCGGAACTTCTGAATGGCGAAGACGACTGCTAAGCACTCGAGCTCGGTGACGGTGTAGTTCTTCTCTGCTCGGGTCCATGTCCGAATGGCATATGCTACGACGTGCTGACAGCTGTTGCAGAGTTGGACCAGAACAGCACCAACACCTAGCCCACTAGCATCGGTATGAAGTTCAGTCAAAGCATCAGGATCAAAATGCTTTAGGATGGGTCCTGAAGTCAATAAGAATTTCAGCTGTTGAAATGCAGCCTCACATTTATCATCCCACAAGTACGGTGTGTCTTTATGAAGAAGGGATGTCAGTGGGGAGGCAAGTTGTGCGAAGTTCTTAATAAATCGGCGGAAATATGAGCACAGACCCAGAAAACTTCGCAGGTCCTTCACTGTTCGTGGTGGTTCAAAGTTGCGAACCACTGCGGTCTTCTGTGGGTCTGGTCGCACGTCTTCTTTATCCATGAGAAAGCCTAATATGAGGGCTTGACGTTCTCCAAAATGACACTTCTTTGAGTTTAAAACAAGGCCAGCTTCGCGTAAGCATTTAAACACAAGCGACAAACGGTGGTTATGCTTTTGAAAAGTCTTGCCGTAGATAATCACGTCATGTAAATAGCACATGCAAATTTCCCATTTTAGTCCACGGAGTACTGTATCCATAAATCTCTCGAATGTCGCTGGAGCATTGCACAAACCAAAGGGCATAACTTTGAACTCAAAGAGACCGTCTGGTGTTACAAAGGCCGTCTTCTCTTTATCTGAGGGATGCATAGAAATTTGCCAATACCCAGAACACAAGTCAACAGAAGAAAAATAGGAGGCAGAATGCAGGCAGTCCACGGCGTCATCTGTACGTGGCAAAGGGTAGACGTTTTTTTTTGTGATGGCATTTAGGCGACAATAGTCTACGCAGAATCTCCATGAATTATCCTTTTTCTTGACTAGAATGACAGGAGTTGCCCATGGACTACACGATTCTTGTATGATGCCCTTCTTTAGCATGTCTTCAACTTGCTCAGCGATGGCTTTCCTTTCGGAAGGCGATACACGATAGGGCTTCTGGCGTATTGGTGGTGCTTGGCCTGTATAGATGCGGTGTTGCGTACGTGGAGATGGTGGCGTAACGGTAGACGTCTCGTCTTGGGCAAAGTCAAAGACTGAAGCGTAGTGTGTGATCACCTCCTGCAGCAGCGACCGTTCAGTTGATGGAAGTGACTTGTTAATCATACGGTCAATGCTGGCAGAATAGTCGGGGTACGAGTTGGCGTGGGGTTTCTTTACATCCACCGACAGTTGGAGTGACCGTATGGTAAGAGTACTTTGCTCTTGGAAGCTTGCCAATTTAAGTCCTGCAGGCAGATATATGGGCTGCGCGGAAATGTTCACAGTCCACAAATTGGCACAACCATCGACGGTGAGCACGAAGCAACGAGGCACAATAACGTTTTACTTAAGTGCGTTACTGAAGTTCGGCTCGGCTAAACCGTAGTAAGAACCCGCTCAAGAACGCGAAGAGTTAACACGCACAAACATTGCAGTACGCGGGGCCAAGCAGACGTCTTCAGACACGGAAAACACTTCCAAGCAGTCATCAACGGTATCTTTCGTCAATGGAGACAGCAACACGGGACGAAAAATAATCCCACCATGACCACAATCTAGAGTTGCACCACATTCCCGCAAAAAATTTATACCTAGAATGACGTCGTGGGTCGCTCGTGCAAGCACCGTTAGTTCAGCTCGAAACGTTTGATTTCCTACAGAAAGTAAAACAGAACAAACTCCAACCGGGCTCAACGTTTCTCCCCCCTATGGCGCGGAACGTAGCACTCCGATTCCAAGCAAACATTACTTTCGTCCCAAGGCGATTTTAAAAGACATGCTCATTATGGAAACGGCAGCACCGGTATCAACTAGCGCAACAGTACTCACATTGTCTACAAACACACTCACTTTGTTCTCAACCATTACAACACAAGCGGGTCTTACGGAAGATGATTTTGCGGCCTCGCCCTCATTGGTCGCACCAGCTAGTTTCCCAGTGGTGGTGGCGTCCCCGAGCAGCGACGCGGAGACGGGGATCGCTGTTGGCGTGCGGGTGGTGGGGTAACGCTGCGGTCGGAGCAAGGAGAGTCAGCACGTGCTGCGTGTTGCCGTTGGAAAGAGCCCTCAAATGGTCGAGACTCGCCAGCAGGTATATAGGGCGTGTACACATCGTTGAGCTCGCTGCTGGCGACCGTAGCAGTACCTAGCGATGTGTCCAGGTAGCCCGCAGTTGTAGCAAGTACGGGTGTCGCATCTAGTTGTCCCCGGTGATGTACACCTCGTCGGTTGATAAAAGCCGGGCGATGGTGGCCGAGGAGTAAATCGCTGTGATGCAGCTTGCCTGCGTTCCTGGTTTTTCGAGTGGTCGTTCACTCCTTCGTTCGAACCGATCGGTGTGATTCGGGCGAGGCTCAAAGTAGCTCTGTCGCATCCGAGGTACCTGTGGTTCACGGGGCCGTTGGTCTAATGCACACTGATGGCAGACACCAGCGGTGTCCACAGCTTGCAGTTGAGCAAGTTCTTCCTTAACCACTCGTCTTATAAGAGAAGAGATGTCGTCCTGCGATGGAAGGTTGACACTTGCAATCGTGGGCACATTCTCAAGACGTCCAAATTTTGGTAGGACTCTCCTCCTCTTTAGCGCTTCAAACGCTCGGCAATGTCTCCTTAGGTCAGAAGGTGTGTGTAAGTCTTCCTTAGTGATGAGAAAATTGTACACGTCTTCCGCGATTCTCTTGAGCAGATGACCTACCTTATCTTCGTCACACATGGTCGCACTCACAATTCCGCAAAGCTTCAAGACGGCCTCGATGTAGGTGGTGCATGCTTCGCCAGGTAACTGAGCTCTGCGTGAAAGCGTTTGCTCCGCCTGCTTGAACTTAGCTGTTGAGTCACCATAACACCTCTTCAGCTCGTCCACGAAAATGTCCCATGTGGTCAATGCACTCTCATGGTTGTCGAACCAAAGAGACGCGAGGCCGACGAGAAAAAACACCACGCTCTCGAGCTGCTTAGCAGTGCTCCAGCGGTTGCTGCGAGTCACTCTTTGGTAGTGCTTGAGCCAGTCGTCAACATTGTCATCTGGCTGCCCCGAAAAGGTCCTTGGCTGATGTTCCGGCATGCCGCAGCGATCTTGTCCTGGCGGGTGAGCATGTTGCTCATCAACAACGAGGTAGTTATGGCCTGCTCCCGCGTCCTCCATGTCTGGTAGCTGCGGTAGCAAGCCTGCCAAGCGTCTGCTCTGTCGCGAAATCGGTAGAGTTGGGTCGTCCAGATCGATGTACCCAGCACCTCCACCAAGCTGTTACGAGTGACTGTGTTTATTTAAAGATGAGGTGAAATGGCATTGTGAAAGAGCAGCGTACTTCTGAGACAGGCCTAGAACGCTTCACCCAACCACACAGTCCAAGCACCGCTCCACTACTCTTCTTCTTCTTCCGTGCCCCGTAGGCTCTCGCATCTTCGTTTCAATATTATCAACAAAAGTGCCTTACTTACCAGGAAATTAAGGTAAATGCGCATGAATACATGCACCACAGTAGGACATTCTCAAAATGATCTTGGTGACGTCAGACGAACCACCTAAAATTAATAACTAGTAATCAAACTAGCTGCACTAAATAAAGAACCTTCCATGCATCAAGGGAGGTAATAAAATGCTGCTTGTTCATTTCTGTTTGATTCAAAGAAAAATGAACTGCCGGACGTTGTTACTATGGGGAATAATGCGAGTGGTTCAAAGGTTCAATTTTCGCATGGTTAATCTGGACAGGTCGTGCCATCTAGTGGGGCCCAGTTGAACCAGTAACGCCTGCCATCTCTGAGCGAATGGCAGGAAATTGTTGAATTGTCGTTGTTGTTGCTGTGGCTTTCACGGCTTTCGTTCTATTGCTAATAGTGTTGGTGCCGGACAACGTTGTGCACGGCAGCAGTGACATGAGACGTTCCATTCAGGGGGGTAATTTCAAGAGCCTACGCGAACCACTAAATTGTGATTTTATTTCAAGATAAGCACTTCCTTAGCACGAAAGTAACACTACATGGTTTCTGGACCGTCATTTCAATAATCAGCGTGCACTTATTAGTTGTCTTCGATGTCCCTTTACCAGCTGAGGTATAGGTTGATTGCACTGTTTAGTGTAAAGGAATGCTTACTCCTATTCGAGGTGCTGTTAAGTAGCTATATTTTCCTCATTGGATGAATGAAACAAGCTGATTCATCTGTTGGATACGTTCACCTTGCACATATGTGTGAACCAATGTTATCTCTATAATGGCAAAAGTGAAATCCGGACCTACTCTCAGAATGGGTCACTCTCCTCACTGTGATAATCGCCAGAGGTGTACTTCAGTTGAGTCGTCTTTGTGAAGTACTGATCATTTACTGGTCTCTTTTTTTCTTTATCAACTGCTTGGAAAAAAACATGTGATTGCTGTACTCATTTGAGATGCTTTAAATAAAAAATGTTAAACGTTGCTTGTCCTTCACTGCAGCACGAACTGAGGTGCCAGCCGAGACGCAGAATGATGAAGCCCCCATTCTGGAAAATACACGAAACGATGTGGCAAAGCAGTTCAAGGAAGTGTTCAGCAAGGTGAGCGTTTACTTGTACTCACTACTGCATCTAACGTGAAAGTGCACGTCTGAATAATCGTGTATAATTGCTACATTTGCATGTTTCTGTGTTCTCAATTTAACAGCAGTCTGAGAACTTGGTTATGTTATGAGGACAGGGCCACGAACTTGTGCTGGTCAATTATCATTTTTACAGGCACTGCTGTCTCAAGTTTGAGACATTGCAGGAGTGGTTAAAAGAAATGCACAAAGAAACAACAAACATGTGTGCTTATGGCTTTGCGATGAGTTCACAAACAATTTTGTGTTCCACTGGGGTGGTGCTCAGCTATTCACTTGAAGGTTGTCAGCACTGTCCCAGCCTCGATATTTTTATTTCGATGGGAGAAAAATGCTTAGGTCCATGTACTGTGGGATCTCAGTGTACGTTAAAGAAACACCAGATGGTCGAAAATTTCCGGAGCCCTCCACTACAGCGTGTCTCATAATTATATCGCAATTTTAGCACATAAAACTCCAGATACTTATTATATTATTACAGACAATGTTGTGAGTTTTGCCACTTAGCATATTCAACTGAATTATCTAGGGCATGATAGCAGCATTTTTTTTTATTGCTGCTTTTTCGTTTAGCTTGTATTTTCAATAGCAGCGCAACAACACTCATCGCATTACGAAGTGTCCTGTCATAGCAACAAGCTCTGCATGCCTGATACGCATGTTCAGAGTGCACACTCTTAGAAGCAAGGGATGTGCGATCTCATGCACTGTTTTGCCGATTACCATCATGACTGTGCTGTATTAGTTCCCTTCCATATCACTAGTTGGGATAGTTGCGCTTGAATAATGGTTGACAGCTTCTAATATAGGAGAAATAAGGCAAGCAGTTTGGCATTAATGTCACCTTTAAAAGGTTCCTTTGTCCTTCTTGCTGCCATTTCGTCTACCTCACTCGTGTCATAACGAAACTCATTTGTCCTGGTGGGAAACGAATGTTGACTATATGCTCATATGTTAGGACCGGAGGCAGTTTCAATATCGAGGAGCCCTCCGGGGTCCTGTGACGCGCTCAGCTTACTCATCAACAAACATACTACTATTACGTGACCATGAATACCCGTAATGTCTCGGCCACCTTCTGCCATGTTGTCAGTGCTGCTATTTTGTTTGCTTTATTGTGCGTTTCGAATGCTTGTCAATCATCGTAAAACTATACAGTGTGTCTGGTGTGTAGATTGACAAATGACCCACGAAGTGTGTAAAAATGTGTCACAAAAGCTTGATTCACTTTGCGAATCTAGACAGTTTTCACGGGCTTGTTCTTGACATCGTTGACCAAATGAGGTGACAATTTTCGTAAACCTTGAAGCAGCCACATTATTAAGCACGCTGAAACATTTTCACTCTAGTCATTTCTAAAGTACAGTCCAGCCCGCTTATAACGAACCTGAGCGTGACGCAGCATCCGTTCGCTGTATCACGAAGTTCGTAGTAAATGAAACACAGCTTTTTAAAAAAAAGTTGCGAGTGAAAAGACAAACTTTTTTTTCTCGCCCCAAAAAGTCCGTGATGCACGTGTTTCGAAGAACAGAAGCAAGGGCGGTCTCGAGTTCATTTAAAACGGTAGGGTGCTCGTTCGCCGAGGCCCGTGGCATAAGCTGCATGAGGCACTGGCTCCAAAGTTTCATCGTTCTCGCAATCTGATTCCTCCAAATCGCTCTCGCCATGTACTTCATTCACAATGCCCCAATCCGTGCACGGTTCCGCAGCGTCTGCGTCATCATCGGCCGTAATTAAACCATCGCAACAGATGTCCCGCCCGCTCTCCCAGGTCGGAGTTGACGACGCGCTGCCACAAATCGCCGTCGCAGTTCGGAAGCTTCAGGCTCAGCATCGGGTCCGACGTCGACGAAGTCGGTCGGGCCCGATGCCGAGCCTGGAAACGGGCTTCTGAAACGGGCTTCTGACTGGAAGCCCGTTTCCAGGCTCGGCTAATTCGAGCCAGTGTGGGGGGCGTCGTGGAGCGGTGGAGACGGGCGGACGGGGTTGTGATCAAGAGAGGTGAGCAGACTTGCGAGAGAAGGGCAAGGAGTTATGATAAAGAGAGGGGAGGATGCGGCGGGAGGGCGAACTTCAAAACAAAACACACGGGAAGGAGGCAGGTTGGATAGCTTGCTTGAAAGGTCCGCGAAACTCGCACGTAGAAAAACTTGGAAAGAGTGCATGGCCGCCTGAATCGGTGCACGCAGCGGTGTTCGAAGAATCGGCGGCCGTGGTCATAAAATCGTTTTGTTGCGCCGGCGAGTTAGCGTGGCCTCACGAACTTCGACGTTTCGCGATTCGTTTTGCGCACATTAACAGCCGTTTTCGCGCTTCCGCACGTGCGGGAAAGGCATGCGGAGCCGAGTGCGAAGTAAGCGAGAACAAGTTCTAAACACGAAAAGAATCGCAAATTATCAGAGTTGGTGGGGTAGCGTACGTGCGTGCACTACACGAAGACTATCGGATGCAGTCGGTGGCCGACGATGTTGGCAAATGGTCTGGTCACTCCAGGCCGGCGATGCCAATGACAGTACCAGCGATCAAAAACAGGGTAGATGGCTGACCGGTCTTCCAAAGATCGGTGGCAGTGTGAAAACACGGGCCTCGTCTGGCGATGCTGGGTGCTCAGAGTAGCAGGGGGATAAAGGACGGACGGGTGCCTAACAAAAAGCGGTCGGAGAGAGTGGCAACTAGAGGGGCGCGAAGGCAGGGTTGCCGTTTAACAATAAGAATGTATGGGCACCTCGCTGATGCCTGATCGGTGGTTGAAATCGGTTTCCTGGGAAGTCGGCAGACCGCTAACTCCGTTCGCTGTAACCGATTGTTGTGCCATTGAACCAATGTATATTTTCACGGTCACGTGGATATTGTTCGTTTTAAGCGAAAGATCGTTTTAAGTGGGGCCATTATATGTGGGCTCGACTGTAGCAGGTTGAGAACTGATGAAGAAAGCAGTGAAACAACAACGTTGGTTTTCTGTAACTGTGCGTAGGTGCGTAATATGTGCAATATGTACGTGGTGTACGCTTCAGTACTGACTCACACTTAAATAGCACAATGCTGTATTCGAAAGGCATATCAATCCCACATATACTTGCGGTAAGAACACCAAAGCAGTTATATATATCTGCACTATGCTGTACAATCTGGGTTATAGAGAGCTTTATTGTGTCCACTATGTTACGTTCGCCGATACCCAGTTGCTGGAGCTGTTAAAGGCAGCTGCAGCACCAGCGGAGCTGGTAGCAACATGTTGTAGCGTTTTGTCCTATTACATTAGAATTATTTTTTTGTTCTCTCAGTTGTATTACTCTTCTTGTTGAAAAACAGAAATTTATAATACTTTGAATTGATAATCAGCTCATCGCCAATGCTTTACACAGAGTCAGTGAGCGGATTAAGTCATTGTTAGGTTTCCTGAATTTGGCTGAACTTTCTGGATGTGGTTCACGGAAGTTCCTTCAGTGTGCATGCAGCGCAGCATTAGCAGTTTCGGTGCAACGCTCAAATCGAGAGCAACAGAGCAGCAATGCCACGTATCTTACGCTATTGGTACGAGGTGAGAACTCGTGGGGAAGCTAGTGCTGAAATTCAGGTGGAACTTGTGCAGCACCACGCCAAATCGAGCGCATATGCGCAGGTGGCAGGCGCTGCACTCATCAAATCGAGTACCAAAGTGCCGCACTCTTGAACTAGTGCAGGAAGTGCAGCCAAATCAAGGAGATTTATTATGCTTGTGGATCTCTGGTCAGTTTCTGCATCATCAAATGTCACTACCAGCATTGTCCATCTCGTACATTGCTTAAAATTCCAAATCGACGCTTTCACAATCTTCAAAACACAATTAAAATGTATTTGTGGCTGGTATTAGACAGATTGCACCTCTGTGTTCCTATCAGTGTGATGTAGCAGTTGAACTGTGTCCCGTTCCTGCTCTGGGCGACGTCACCCTCGCTGTTTGTGGCATAACCAATAGACATGAAAATGCTGCTGATAGATGAGAGAAAATAAAATAAGAAAAAAAAAGACACCCAGGATTGAATGGGATTTGAACCCGGGTCCTTTGCATGGCAATTGAGCATTTTACCACAGAGCACTGCTGGTGCTTGCAGCTCATTTGAAAAAGACCCAATACCGGCATCATGTCGGGCAAGGAATCACTTAACCTATGTAATGTAACATGACAGAAGAGTAAAATGACAACCAGTATCGCGTAGTGCCTATTGCACGAGTTTGTGGTTTAATGCTTGTTACCCACTGCAAAGTACTCAGCCATAGTTCTTCATTATCGTCGGCCTCATGCATCATCAACAAAGTGCATGTAATACCTTATAGATGTACTGCAGGTACCTCACTTATCCATGTAAATATGAATAATGTCATAGTGGGTGCTGTCGCACTCCCAAACATCGTGATTTGTGGCGTAGTCGATGTCTTGCGGAAAGCCAAAACTTCATACGCAGTTGGCCTTCCTCCAACACGAAGCTGTGCTCAGAATTTGCATTAGGCGGTATCATAATTGTCGGGGAATCTTCTGTGTCACGACCCCTTCAATGTGAACGTACATAGTTGAGAAAGTAGAGCAAATGCTGCTTTTGTTCCTCGCAAACAAAAGCACTGGATGGCTTGCAATTAAATCAGCTGAGATGCTTTTTCTACGTATATTAGGATGTTTTTCATCTGGTATTTTAAATTTGTGTATTCCTTTTGATCAATTATCTGTTGGTTCGTTCTACGATTAAGACCAGCATACCATTCATCCTCGTGTAAGTGTTGTGACCATTATTGCTTTATGTCTGGCGTTGTGTTTCTTAGCACTAGGACGTGACTTCGATTTCTGGCCGTGGTGGCAGTGTTTCTAAGGAGGCTCCAAAATGCAAAAGTGACCACGTACACTTGGATTTAAGGGTACATTACAAAGCATCGGAATCGGTCTGAAGTCTGTAACTTACGGCATGGCTCGCACTTGTGTAGTGATTCGGAAAACAAAACCAAAATGAGCTTTATTTTCAGTTATATGAACACTCTCGGCGGGTTTTTGCCGCTGCTGTAGCCGTCATCGTCCATATAAAGCTCACTAGAGCAGCAACAACTGCCTACTTTGGTCATGAGGGTGTGGTCATGAACGCTGGCTTGCATGCTGTCTCGACAACAAGGATTAGTAGATGGTTTATATACCATTGTATGTGCTATGTTTAGTGCTTTCTTTGTGTTGACGCGACAGACAGCATGAAGACTGCTTCGCTTCTTGGAGTAGCCGTACTTCTTTGCACCAGCACTTTGTAGTGTTACATATAATTGGATTAAGCCCCGCCGCGGTGGTCTAGTGGCTAAGGTACTCGGCTGCTGACCCACAGGTCGCGGGTTCAAATCCCGGCTGCGGCGGCTGCATTTCCGATGGAGGCGGAAATATTGTAGGCCCGTGTACTCAGATTTGGGTGCACGTTAAAGAATCCCAGGTGGTCGAAATTTCCGGAGCCCTCCACTACGGCGTCTCTCATAATCATATGGTGGTTTTGGGACGTTAAACCCCACAAATCTAATCTAATCTAATATAATTGGATTAAAAAAAAGTTAACCTCTGGCTTAACTTTGTGTCACATTACAGTTATTTACTTATTTATTTGTTGTACCCTCAGGGCCCGAGGGCATTACAGAGGGGAGAGGAGATCTACATAACGGAAGCAATGTAAAACAGCAAAGACTATGGCATTCATTGCTTCACTCTTTCAGTGTAACTGTGATATTCATATTTTATATTTCGTAAAGGTGTTGTCTTTGCCTGTCAGAAAGTCATATAGATACGAGATTATGCATAGCACGTTTAAGACAGACATTTATGTTGCTACTTTTCATTGCCTTTTCAGAAGGGAGAAGGCGACCTTCATGACGAAGCCACTGCCCAGTTCAAAGATGGCAGTCAGGCAGACATGAATGTTGTGCTCGAGAGACTGATGAAACGGCTCAAACAGATGGAGGCTGATACCGAGGCTGATGCTGAAGAAAGCTCGGGAAGTAGTTCTCTGCAGCGTGTTGCTGAAGGGCAGCAAAGCACTGAGCATCTCGGAGAGCCAGAGGATGCCACTCGGGATGCAACGGGGGGTGAAGATGTTGCGGGAGATGAAGACGCTGGAGATGATTCCGGTTCCTTAGTTAGTACAGAAGGGCATCAAGATATTTCTGAAGAAGGAGGTGGTAAGTTTTTGCTTGAAGCTGCTTTTCATTCTGATGCGAAGTGAAGGCGGTGCTTTACCATCCCAACGTAGGATGGCTAACCTGCGAATAATTGCTGTACCTGTCTTTTTTTTTCTGTTTTTTCATTTACTGTTACAGTTTACTTTAACAATTTATTCTATGAATGTTTTCATTTTGCTACGTTTCATTAACTTTGGTAAACTGCAATGGTCTTGAATACCGTTAAGCGAATGTTGCATGCTTCATTAGTTGTTAATAGGTGGTCGAAAGTGTACTGTATGTGTGTAAGAAGGCCTTTGGAAGTTCTAGTTAAGGAAGTTTTGCAGAAAGCATTCATAACCACATCTTGTGGAGAAGTGCGCATCGTCACTCTGTTGTCGCAATAATTGTTCTGCGGTGCCTTGCGGACACGCAATCCATTGCGATGATGCCATATGCTTCATTGTTTTGCATCAATGGCAGCTTCCAAATGTGCATACCTAAAAGCTTTATAATAGGTTTATTATTTACAAAAAAAGTGTAACTTTTGTTGAATTTTGCTGTTTTTTAATTTTCTTTACAAATACTGCTGGCCCAGTTCAGGCCCAAGGAGGAGTGGGTAGATAAATGGCAGTGGCAATACCAAAAAGGGATTCTAAGAAAAAAATATATATTGTATATATAACACAAGATACAAAAGAGGCGAAATTTCTTAACATCAACGCAAAACGTAATTTACAAGAATGATGCAATGCAATGCACAAAAATACAAAAATAAAGTATCTCAGCATCAATAAGGAACCTCAATAATGTATAGAAGCATTTAAAAATCAAAAGAAAATTCAAAGGTGAGATGGGCGAACGATTGTATTGTGTCAGCATTACAGTCCTAATTATGCTAAATGTTTGCATTTGTAGTTAGTGTCACTCTTCATTTGCGAGGTGACAAGATGACTTCTGGATTTATTATATAAACTGACTGAGGCCTTGCAAGCTGTCTAAACACTACAAATCATGCACCACTCTAGTAACTAATGATTACTGTTGTAAATACTTACTACCTATTTCCTATAAATGCTGCTTCTATCAATTTTATCAAATTTCCGAAATCTCTCGTGTTAGCTGTAATGCACCAGTCAACCGTGTGAGCTAACCAGACCTGGACTTAGCAGAAGTATGTTGCACAGTATTGGTACACTAATAGGGCAATGAAATACATAAATATACAACATTATGTGGTCAAATGTTTGGACAAAACAGACGTCATTTCAGGGAAATTGGCAACAGAGCACCTTGAACGCAGTTATACCACATGTTGGCAGAGCTACAGGTGGTCACACTGTATGAAACTGGTGTGCGTTGTCTATAGCCATTTTCTTGGAAATAATGTACATATATCGTGTTTGCAGTGAAGTATGTGCTAGCTAGCCTGTGCATCTCAGTCACGTTCATTCACTCCAAATATGCTACTTCAGACTCCATAGTGTTTGAATAACTGGCCAGTGGTGTTTTTGTAACTTTTCTCAGTTAGGCAAGTTGTTGAAAAAGCCAACGGTCCCTCACTGTTCCTTCATTGCTTTTTAGCACTCTTGATCATTGCATGACGTCTACAATGAGCATAAAAAATTCACAAATGAAGTCTAAAAAATTCTGAAAATTTTTTAGCTAGTGTAACCAGCACGGCGTTTAGACCACCAGCGTGTGCAGTATAGGCACAAAGAGAATAACTGCACTACTTGACACACGTGTAAAAACCAGACACACAAACGCCAGTGCTGGGTGTTTGATGGCTTTGAGTTCAAGCATGAACTGCTCGGAAAGCTTGATCCATAAACTTTCGACTCTTATGTAGTATGAAATGTTTGTGTAGACACTGAGTTCAGGCAACCTTATCTCACTCTGCAATGCAGTGACCTTTTAATGCCTGAAATAAGAGGAAGCCAAAGAAACTGAGTTGTTTTTATTTTCCAACTTTAAGTAGCAACCTTTAAGTGATTCCACAGTTCAGTTATCTAAATTGCAACATTATTGCATACTTTTTGGTATGTCATGAATTCTCTGTATGTGCCCCGCCGCGGTGGTCTAGTGGCTAAGGTACTCGGCTGCTGACTCGCAGGTCGCGGGATCAAATCCCGGCTGCGGCGGCTGCATTTCCGATGGAGGCGGAAATGTTGTAGGCCCGTGTGCTCAGATTTAGATGCATGTTAAAGAACCCCAGGTGGTCGAAATTTCCGGAGCCCTCCACTACGGCATCTCTCATAATCATATGGTGGTTTTGGGACGTTAAAACCCACATATCAATCAATCAATTCTTCGTATGTCACAGAAGCGAGGACTTCGGAATAAAAACATACTTCAGGACTACATAACATGTCATGTGGCACATCTTGGGTGCGCACGCACCAAATAAATAAAATTATTGAAGATAGAACTTATGTTACCCAGAGAACGAGCAAAGAAGTTGGAGCTTTTGCACGTGCTTTGTGCTCTCTGCCACTAGCTACAGAAGAATTGGTTCTCAGCAGCAAAGGGTTTATGTGCTTCTAAAAAAGACTTTACAGAACTTAAATTTGTGTTTACAGACTCACAAAATTCTGGTCTTGGTCACAGAATGCTGTCACATTTCTCTCTACCTTCAGACTATGAAGACAACTCAGGGTACCCAGGTGAAGATGGTCAAGAAGAACAGGGCCAAGAAGAAGGAGATCTTGAGAGCCAAGCAAGTAAATGGCTTCATTTTCTTACTGCCTTGCTTATCAGTATAAGCGACCAAACATTAAACTTGGTGAGGGGGCTTTGAAAGGAACCCAGGACCCCCTTAGAGGTAACAAAATGTGCTCTTCAGGTAGAGCGCAAACTTTATATGCCAGCCATATTTTGTACTTACACAACCTGTGATAGCCACTGTTGTAGCTTAGCAGGTGAGGTGTCGCGATGCTGTGTTCTGCTATTCCCCTTCATGGTAGCTGCATTTCCAAGGGGGCAAGATATGAGAACATCAGTGTACTTAGAATTAAGTACTGAAAAACACAACGTGGTCAAAAATACTAATCTAGACTTCCAGACAAATGGCCTACCCAGAATTGAAATTTAGCTTGTGGAAATCACGAGTGATAGTACAGTCAAGTCAACTTGCAATGATACGGTTTAAAACACTATATCAGATATAACAATGAACAATTTCTGTGGTAAAATAAACCGCTTCTTGAGATGCCACAGTGCTGTGATATCGGATGTAGAGTTCAAATCCGGCTAACGCACACACCGCAAATAGTCTGTACGCCGGCAGCATGTGCGGCTGTGCGCCCTGCATCCCATCCACGCCCTCGGTATACGAGTCGTCTGCGCCTCTCGCAAGCAAGGGAGAGGAAAACAAGCTTTCCTTTTCAACTTCCGAAGCGATGCCAGAAGAGGCCTGAGAAGTGGTATGACGAAGAGCTTCCAGATTTGTGGTCGGTGCCTAATGAAGATGCCTCGTGTCTGGATCACTCCACGCGGACGATGTTGCGGAAACGTCTGAGAGTCTTAGAGATGAGGCGATCGTTGCGCGTATATGTGTTGTGGACAGCGGTGCAAGCAGTGACTCTGATGATGTGTTGGAACTGTCATTGTAGAAGACCCAATGAATGATTCAGTACCTCTGTGATATTGTTTTTGGGAAGGATGTCCAGCTCAGCTACGTGGAGCACCTTGATGCTATTGAGAAAGATATACACAAGCTTCGCTTAAGGCAATCAAAGCTGACAGACTGTGGCTTTTCTACAAACAAGTACATAGCTGCACTACCTTACTTGCATGTAAAAAAAAGTTTTCACCTCCTTTGTTTTTTTCGATCGGCTAGAACGATGGCTCTTCAATATTGTTGTAAGTGGACTGCATTTCAATGGCTTGCCTTGTTCTTTCTTTCATTAAAATGTTCTCGACATCGGGGCAGATGCAGAGCCAGAAGAGGCTGGCAGCTTGCGGGTTCGTATCCGTCGGTACGGCCAGCGTAAGTCTAAGGAGCCCGGAAAAAAGACTGCCAAATACCAGGAATTGGATTTGCCTTCCGAGGACAAGTCGAAGTTGGAAACTGCACTGAGAGACAGGCTACAGAAAGCGGGCGTTTCTGCAGGAGGTAAGCAGAGGTGCATGCTAGGTGAAGATGCAAAGCCAGGACTCCATTGAAGTGCTGTTGCCAAAGCTCCTGGGAAAAGGGATAGATAGCAACTATCAAATGGCTTCACTATAGTCTGTTGCTTCAATATGAGCGAGTTAGAAAATTGTCACGTGATGTAATTTCTTTCTCTCATCCCAATGAGCGGGCTGTACGTAAGCAGAGAAAGGAAATGATGGCATGGGGAAAGAAGCCATGTCACGCATGCATATCGTGCCCTTAAACAATCTTTGTTTTTCTTTAAAAGCACCGCCTATTTTCAGTGTGATAGGAAGTGCACAGGCTTGTGGCAGCCTTGGTCGCCACATGCCTGTTCACAATGCTCAAATCAGCTAATGGCCATGAATTGTGGTACGCGCAGCTATCAATTGGGCATATATGGCATCATATGTAGACAAATAAGGGAACGATTTCTAGCTTACTTGCAAAATTAACGGTGAATTCCAGGCCGTGTCCTGCGCTATAATGTTTGGCTCGAGTGTTCTCGAGAGCCTCGACTACAGATCAGCAGCATTTTATGGCCATGCTAAGAAAGTGTTATAGGGCCCCTTTAACCCTTTGTGGTCTGTGGTCAGGCACTGCTAGACAAGTTGTTTCACCGTTGATACATGCTCGAGTTTTCTTGCTACATTATGTGCCATCTGCACGTAAACTTCTTTTACTTGAGCCTTGAGTGTCTTAGTTTCCGACTAGAACGAATGGAAGGTAGTTTTGGACCATAAAAAATCGAAGAGATTGTAAGTTCAGATGTTGAAACTAGTAGTTGAAAGACATTCTCAGTTGTTACAGTGGCAATGTTGATTTGGCAATAGGTACGCTAGCATTACATTGGGCAATGGGGTACCAGTGTTATCGAGTAACTTCTTAACTGTGAAAGTGATCAGCAGTGCCACCACTACTAGCAGAGGCTTTGCACCACAGTGTTGCATGCACTATGCGAGCCTAACGACGCTGTGGAAGGTGCACAGAGTGCCTGAATGCACTTGCACGTACATGGGTCTCCCTTGATGCGACTCCTAGTTTTTCTGCGCCCATGTTATGACAGTTATTCAAGCAACCGATCGCTGAAGTTTGATGTGGCATCACCTTTTTTTTTTTTGCAGGAAGAAAAATTGAAGTTAAGATAATCACTGCTGGTTATTACGATGACGAGGAAGCGAAAGGCTTGAACGTTCTTTCTCCAGAAGAGACAAGACAGTTTCAGAACATGATAGTTACCCTCCTGGTAAGCATTTGCAATTTGAACCATTTCTGGTCTTCTATACAACTTGAAAAGAAACTTTACAGGCTTGTTATTAATGGTCATATTGATTAAACAGATGGGAAACCAAGAGGCTACACAGGAAATTGAAAAGCACCTCAGGCTGGAGAAGAATTACAATTTTGTGTGGAACAATGAAGAGACCAATACAGACACACCAGCTTCAACTACGGAAGAAGAAGAAGAAGAGAGATAGCTGCCGCACACACACACACATCGTAACACTAGTCATCACTGCAGCTGTCTCGAATCTCTATACACAAACTTTCATACACAAACAGATGGGGGGAGGGGGACGTAGTAGTCGGAATGGGCAGTGTGCATTGTACGTGCATTTTTATGCACTAAGTGAGTGGAACACCTTGTCACGCGTTAGCAAGCGGCACGTTTCGATCTCGGCTCGCTTGCTGTAGTTGTGAACACATCTTTTGTATATTTTTTTCCCACTGTGTTTTTACCGAAAATAAAAGTGAATCATGCTGCATCTGTACACATTAGATAGTGGCTTGATCTTTTTATATTACTAATTAGTGGAGGGCAAATTGGTTTGTCAGACACAGCCAGCAAATTTAAACATAATAAAGTTAAAGGATGCCCAAGAGGAAAGGCTTCTCCATTGTGTTTTTTATGGTGGTACTGACACTGTACAGCCAAATGCGAGGTCACATACTGGAATAGCGGCCATCGTCGCGTTTTCAAGAGCAGAGCTCCTTAGGCTTGCACAGCGTCAGTTGTCACTGTCGTAGGTGCCCGTCGGCCATCGGAACAGCTACAGCGCCGCTTCAAAACTCTCTCTCAACAAGCATATCAATCAACGACATGTCTTTGTAAGCAGAACTGTTCGTAGAGTGCACGCAGTGCACCCACCAACCGTGCACAGGTGTAGTGCGGCGGGGGCGCCGCTCCCAAACCCTCTTCCAGCAGGCGTCATGCGCAGCAAACAACATGCATCAAAAGTCATGTGCAGAATCGTTCACAGAGTGCACGTAGCGTGCATACCGAGCATGCATACAAGCCATATACAGCGTGCTGCATTTCTTGCAAACCGCTTGTACTTCGACTGTGCAGCGCTAACACGTCGGAGATCAGTGGCACTACTTGTGGACTGGCTTCCAAGGAGCTTTGCTCCATCGTCAGGATTCACTTTGTGCATCTGCAGTAATCTTTTCAATGGGAGTGAACTGCAATGAATTCTCGCATGTGATGCCTCGGTCACATTCACGGAGGAACAAATATTTAGAAGAAGAAACTCCCAATTTAAAATGGGCGTTCGCAGGCATCCAGATAACGTCACAGAAAACAGAAAAATAACATGCTCAAACAGAGACATTTTAGTTGGCGGTTCCTTGTGGTGCAAAGCCACAACCACGAAAAAAAAGAAAAGGAAATGCTAATGGCCGAGTGCAGCCACGGAGCAAGAAACGAGCGCGGCCGAACGCACTCCCGCTCCGTGACTGCAGTAGAACGCGACCAACACGCGCATCAGTTTCCCTTAGATACCGAAACGGCAGCATTTCCCTTTTCTGTCGAAAAAAGCCGCCAGCACGAAATGGCTCTCCGGCAATTTGACATTATTCGGCTGTCTCAAGGAGCGGAGCTGCAACTCCTAAATGTTTATTCCTCCGTGGTCACATAATAGAAGCCCAATCCAGTCAGAATTAGTGTACTCCACATGGAGGCTCACGCCGCCTTGCAGTGCTGGAAATTTCATTTCAAAACTAAAGTTTGTGTTTAGCACAATGAAGAAAAAAAAAAAGACAGTACACCCAAGGTGATGTACGCATTACCCAATAATAATCCTGGCGTTTACATTCTCTCAAGGCGTCTCGATCCCATCAACATTCTTAATTACCAGCTGTGAAGACAGCTGTTACATCTCTTATTTTGGTGACTGGATGAAAATTGATTGCACGATTTCAACTGCTTGTTTTGTATTGCCATAATACAATGTCTAGGTTGGTATTTTTCAAATGGGGTTGCACAAAACCCATTCCCGAAAAAAGAAAAGCATGTTTTTGGAGGCACTACTGAAAGCAGCCGTCCTGATTTCTGGTATGCTTCACCGCAAAACAGTTTTGCATTACGGCGACGCGTACTTGTGCTTCTCGCTTCTTCTTAAGGTGGCCGTAAACCTTTTGTTGCAGTTTTCTAGAACTTATGCCTGCACACATTCATTTTTTAGGCTTGCATATTTGAACAGCAAACACGGTTAGAAACAGGTTGAATGTGACTGCATGCTGCATAACTATTGGCAAGCAACCCAGTTGAGAGGATTCTGTGCTGGAAAGAAGTAAAGGGCTCATCTGGCATTCAGCATGTTGTGTTACTACTAGGCTTGTGCGAATAGTGAATTTTAGGTTCGAAGTGAATAGTGATTTTGGTAGAATAATTTCGAATCGAATTCGAATAAAATATATGACGTATAAAGAAAAATGGGCACATTTATTGTGACCTAATTAACCTGCACAATATTTTTTTAAACAAGGCCTCTACGCTTTATTTTTTCCCATTCAAAGGAAGTCAAAACAACTTTGTGAAGTAGCACGATTTGACTTTCAGTAAGATGCAAGTAATAACCTGTAAAATATGTAGCATTATCTATTACAGCTAGAGTGTATAAGCCGGCAAAACAAGCTTTTAAGCTTGGAAAATGATCAATCAATTTGAGGATAATATGTTCATTTAAAGGGACCCTGCAACAGTTTTCAAAAAATGGATTCAAAGAAGCTTATTACCTGATGAATTAAACGCCGGAACAATTTTTTAGAATCTGTCTAGTATGAGTGGAGTTGCAAAGATTTGACACATGCTGCAATTGCATTCTCTCTTCTCGTCCTGACAAAAGCGCTTGAAGCAAAGCCGGGAGAAATGGCATAGTGAAAGAAAATGTGTCACGTGTGTGTCGTGACCTTCAGCACTCTCTTTCTTTGAATATGCAGTTTTTCAGTGCAATCGCGCGTTTACATGTCGCGGCCACCCGCAGTGGCTACAGTAACCACCAAGCGCCCCATGCTCAAATCTGCCAATGGCTCGTACAATGGCTGTGACGAGCGATTTCCGACATTGTGGCGTCACTTACCAAGAAAAGACAGCAATTTTTATTCGGCCTTCAGAATTTATTGAAGATTCTAGGTCACGTGCTGCGCTATAATATTTAGCTCGCGCGTTCTCGGTAGCATCGCTACTGATCGGCAGCGTTTGCTGACCATGCTCGAAAAGTGTTGCAGGGCCCCTTTAAATATGAAGTGGGGCTTCGCGGCAGAGCAAATTTTTTTGAATAGATGTTTTCACGGTTTAGCACCGCTATACTGCAGTGAAACCACCTTTACAGGCGGTTACTTGCAGTTTATTATACATTTATTCGTTTATGTCAAATACTTCGAAGTATTCGATAATTTAAATTCGAATCAAATTTGAATATTCAAAGCATTAGAATATCTGCACAAGCCTAGTTATTACCCTCTACCAGTGCAAGGGGTTTCTGATCTCTTCTAGTGGTCCACATGTGGTCCCCAAAGCATCCATGGCTGCGAACCGCTGATCCAGGTTCAACTTATCAGTACGAAATTGAATAGTGGCCATTATTACCTTTCAGATTTTAATTTTCCTCATGCACTAGGCCACTGCTGTACTGGAATTGAAGCAACGATGCAACATATCACATCAATGCAAGAACACCACTAATGAAAAAGAAAAAAACTTTTATTGAAAGGGACCAATATCACATGCTTCTCGTCATCCCCGTGCATTTTGATATTTCCTCGAGTTCACATAAAATTGCCTATGAGTAACAAGCAAATGCGTCTGACCAGGATCATTGAATACTGTTAATTGACTAAGACGATGTACATCCCTTTCCCAAAAGAATGCCTATAATGGCAATTCCACTTTTTTCATATCGCTGTTTACCAATTGTGCGAGTATTAATGTAGCAGTATGCTCTGCTGACAGTGTAAAAATGAATTATTGCAAGTTATGTATCGCTCGTAGCACCAACACTCTTGCTTTTAAATGTAATATACAGCATTTTCTAACAACTTTTTGACATTCACCAGTTCACAATGCTTCAAGACAAACCAAATATACAAAATGCAGTGAATACTTTTTATCTACGGACTTGTGATAAAATCCAAGATTATTTCTCGTCTTAACCTTGTTATTTTACTGCAATTTCTCTACTAATAGCCATGTGAAAAGCAGCACCAGGATAGTGAATTTGCAATATCCATTTGAAGAAATACCATTATACCATTGGCTTTGACAGGCCCACACAGGTGGATCCTAGCAGGCATCACCATCACCCAACTACCGAGAGTAGCAGGCACATATAATTAATGCGTGTTTCTATTTTTAGATGTCTATGAACACATTTCACTCTTCGTCATGCAAACTGATGGGCCAAACCTTTCTTGAGGAACACGTGGTTTTCAAATGGCATTATTACGAAACACACTTCTCTAATGCAGCACAGACAGGGGAAGAGTACGGGTTTCTGAAAAAAGCACATTTCAGGCTGCATGAGACACATTGTGTAAATGTCATAGGACAAGAAGGATAGTATTGTCATACTGTACAAAGCATCAAGGTATTGCAAGCTAATGCATTTGGTGTGAAGTTCCTATTGTATACACAATACCTTTACAAAAAGAAAGTCGAATCCAAAACGTCAACCGTTCCCTTTCCTATGTCGCAGTGCTATACAAAAATTATCCCAAGCCTCTCAATATTACATAGAACAAAGAAGTAGGTGTGTTCCTTTGGAAAGATAGCTCAAGTTTTTGTTTTCGTCAGCTTGATTAACTTTCACGAAAGGGCAACTTAAGAGTAAAGACCGTAAAGCACATATCTTGCTGTCGGCTCTGTAAATAGGAACGAACACCATGCAAACCATGAGCAATGCAAATACCTTCACTGAAATTGGCTCGAGTTGAGAAACCTTGCACCAGAGTTCGAAATATAGGCTATAAGCACATGGAACAGATGATACCGATAAACTACTCTTTGCGCACATAAATATTTGCTGTTTTTTTTCCCAGGTTAACATTAATCGTGAAACTTCTTGTAACAAAATGGTTGACTTGCTTGAACTTCAAACTTCTGCAAAGCACATATCTATATTTATACAGTCAGTGGAGTTATGAGGAACTTTAAATGTGCACTCACAACCAACATTGTCTGCTGCAAAGCTTCCTTATCAAGACTGAGTTTTGTGGATGCCTAACCATGTACCTAAACAGTAACACAATTTTTTTTGCACTACTTCTAGTATGCACATTTGCAATCAAAATCCGCATGGACATAGAATGTGATTGTATCCAAACATAAAAACTTTTGAATTGGTCTCTTCTGTGATGACTGAGCCAAAAACAAATTCGTGGTCTCTTTAACCGAGGTCCACGGTGACTTCAATATCAAACATGGGCTTGCTTCTAAGGCTATTGGGTTCCATGACTGCTGCTATTATTAGATGCCCTGACAAACCCCCTGAATGTCAAAACAATAACTCAGCAATAACGTTGACTGGCCAGTCTCAAATTCAACTACTTATAACACCATAGGCCAAGCTTAACTTTTTTTACTTGTTTTAATTGGTTAGAATCCTTAATAAACGTTGAATTATAGCGAGTTTACACCAACCTATGCTGCCTAGCGACAACTCTGAGTGCCAACATGAATGCGTGGACTTCAGCATATGAAAAGTGGTGTATAGAGAAACCGTACTGAGTGTCTGAACAGTGAAGCACATTTGTATTCAGTCATCATCAAACACTGTGGGCAAGGGAATGTGTCACACTGAAACTAATCTAGCATGTAGACTACCATCACAAGTAACCCATGAAGGGTAAGTCGGTACAAAAAGCCTTGTCTGACAACACAAGGCTGTCTTGATTTGTGCGTAGGTTACAGCCAATGAGGCACCAGGGTAATGCAGTGTAAAGGGTATAACAACAAGGGTTGATTCTGAGATGCCAGCCACCATGTAGAGATTTTTTTTTTCTACGAATTGTTTCCCCTTTTTTATAAGGGGGCAGACTGGTTTTGGGGGCCAAAAAGTGACAAAAAAAATCATTTTTTAAAATTGACATATTTAGTTTCTGCAAATATTTTTCTATCTCTCAGCAAATTTTCACACAACAGAAAGTGGTAATTTTTTTTTTGTAATGTCACTCTGTCTAGATTCTTGGTGCTGTTAACATGCAGAACCTGCCAAAAATGGGGAACAGACTTTGAAGATTCTTTATATAATTTGCCAGCACCTGCGTTAGAAGCTCTGCTACGAATTTATGAACACCTTTATGAGGATTGCAAAACATGCACACCATGATTGTTGCTTTTTGAAGAAGCTGTGTGTTTTCAGTTTTTTCAATTTTTCTCATAAAAGTAAATTTACAACTGTTAAATTTTGAGGCCTCATTATCTCTGCAGCTAGGCCAGGTATAACAATAATTCTTTTTGCAATGAAAACCCGTACGTGTGTAGAATGCAAGTATGCGAGCAGAGTTTAGAGCACAAGCTTTTTTAATTACTCATCAATATTGTAATATAAATACAACTGCTTTTGAAAATGGTTAGTTCATTTTGCTGTTCGAATAGTTCATTCTTGGTTATTTAACCAAGAAAAACCTAAAAACACAAAAAAAACAATTGCATACTTTCAATCTATGTTAGCATATATTAAATATTACTTTTAATTAAGCACTTCTTTATATGGCAGCCTTAAACAATAGGTGGTGAACTTAAGTTATCTCAGGAACAAAATGAGTTACAGAAAAACTATTTAAATATTTGAAATCAGCAGAAAAAACTGCATAATCCTGTGCAGTTTGATCAAGATCGCTGAAGAAATAAACAAAAAATGTCTATGACCAGTCTGCCCCCTTAAGGTCTCTTGTGCAGATACAATTAAGCTGTCCAATCAGAACAAATTAAACACAGTGCTATGTCATGAGAGAGAAAAATAGAGTAACAGGATAGTAAGGCGAAAAATGTTCTCATGAAAAAATAAAATAAAAAAAATCAAGTAAAATAACAAAGATGAGATTGTCCACGATGGTATATACTACAATGTCTGTATGTGCTACTTTTGTGTCATGCAACTGAATACCCAGGAATGGTGTGCATTTGCAAAAGCACGAGCTTGCAAAGGTTTTCTGTTCTCTAACTGCCAGCAGATGGAAGCAGGTTCAATGTTTGAATACAGGCAGCAATGCCTGTACAATCCCGAATCATGAGCTGTTACTCTCACCTCTCAGCTTGTGGGTGTGCGACACGTTATTCGTGCGATGGACTGCATTTTCTCACTTAATTATGCTTTTGAAAGAGTTTCCCACCACACGGAGTATCACCTGCAAGTTTCGTCAGACTAATGTACAATTAACTACTTACGTCAATTTGACAATCATAACAAAGCATGCGGCACTATGTTTGTGTAACACAGTCCAACACCAACAAAACAAAGCAAAATTTAAACAGCTCTCTGTGATAGTAGCATGCGCTGATTATCTACTTTCAAAAAATGCATGAGCTATAACAAGCGGTTTTATATTGGATAAAACTTCACTTGATCGAGATTCAACTGTGGTACGTTTTGCATTTGGTACGATCAAGTGCGTTATTTTATTATAAACAAAGATCTACTTTTTGTGTGTATTTGATATTAAGCATGATTTTGAGTGAAAACCGTATGCAAAAGCTACGACACAAAAGCTGGTGCCCACGTGATGCCAGTGTCTGGCAACACATGAACCCATATCACTGAAAAACTGCCCTCTCCCCGTCGTTCCCTCCCTCCCTACGATTGATATTTAAAAAGCCATTAAAGCAAAAGTTGCTCCAGATGCACTGAGAAGATAAAGGAGTTGTGCATAACGGCATTAGTTGGTTAAACATTAGACGTGACGATGGTTAACACACTTAAATAGGCAGAGGAGCATTTGGCAGCGTGAAAGAAGGGCATGCTTGCAAACTTGAGTGTATAAAACTGCTGTGTTTGCACACACTAGGCTGAGTAAGAAAAAGAAAGGGGGCTGTGAGTATATGTATACAGTTATATGCAATAGCAACTGCAAAGTACATGGTGCAACTTCAGAGCACCGTTAAAAAACTGAAAATGAAAAAAAAAGAAGAAAAGTAAAACTTTCAGGCACAGTAGGAGGCAGGAGAATAAGAGATGTGCATATGACAAACAGAAAAGTTGAATCAACAGCGCTTTGAATACAATGACTGATTTGACAGATAGTCAGGAATTCGTGGTCACATGAATGAAACGTGAAGAAGTTACGGTCAACTACCGCAATGTGTTCTTCCATTTCGGCTCATGCCACTTTCGACTCAGGTTAAGGGGGCAGACTGGTCTTTGGGACCAAAGAGTGATCAAAAAATTCATTTTCTTAAATTGACATATTTGCTTTCCGCCAGTATTTTTCTATATCCCTGCAAATTTTCACCTACCAGGAAGTGGTAGTTTTGTTTTGTAATGCCATTCTGACTGCCCAGAGTCTCGGTGCTAGAGCACAATGCTGATGCCGCAAAAAATGGGGAGCCTACTTCGAAGCTTCTTTATAATTTGCCAGCACCTGTGCCCGAAGCTCCACTACCAATTTATGAGCACCTTTATGAGCATTGCAAGAGAAACACACCATAATTGATGTTATTCGGAGAAACTGCGTGTTATCAGATTTTTCCCTTTTCCTGAAAAAGTAAATATACGACTGTTCAATTTTGAGGCCTCAATATCTCTGCAGCTAGGGCTGGTACAACAATAATTCTTTTCGCAATAGAAACCAGTATGTGCATAGATTGCAAGTATGGAAGCAGAGCTTAGAGCTCGAGCCTTTTTAATTAATTACTCAGAGAAACTGTAACACAATCGCAACTGCTTTTGAAAACAGAAAGTTAACTTTGCTGTAAAATAACTGAGAAAAGCTGAAAAACAAAAAAACTCTTGCATACTTTCAATCTCCAGTCATTAGTACATGTTGCCATGTTTCAAACTAAGCACTTTTTTAGGATTTAGAGCCCAAGCCTTTTAAATTAATTACTTATTAAAACTGTAACACAACTGCGACTGCTTATGAAAATGGAAAGTTAATTTTGCTGTAAAATAACCAAGAAAGGCTGAAAAGCAAAAAAAAAACTCTTGCACACTTGCAATCTCTAGTCATTAGTCCATGTTGCCATATCTTAAATATGACTTTTAATTAAGCACTTTTTTTTCACTTTTTAAGACTTATACAATAGGTGGTGAACTTAAGTTATCTCAGGAACAGAATGAGTTACAGGAAAATTACATATTTGAAATCAGCAGAAAAACTGCATAAGCATGTGCAGTATAATCAGGATCGCTGAAGAAATGAACAAAAATATGTCTTAAGATGAGCCTGCCCCAATAATTAGCAAGTTTGGTGCCAGATTTTTGGTGACAAAATATGAAGTGAGGTATGATTTTGTGTTTAGTAGCACTGATGGTCTTGCACACATTTAGACATTCTCGTCAGCGTTTTATTTGCTCAGCACCACGTTATAAGGGCAGAATGCTTCACCTTAACTCTTGACTGAGAAATGCTGGCCAGTAAAGTTTTGCCAGCAATGTCACAATACAGCTGACTTGTCATTGTGCATAAAATTGTAGAAAAGAAAGGCAGGCAATTTCCGTGCTCTGCATTAATGAAAAAACAAAAAATCAATAAAGCTGACTTGTCCTTGGGCATTAAAATATAGAAAAGAAAAGCAGGCAGGTTTCTGTGCTCTGCATTAATGAAAAAAAAATGATCCAAATGAAAGCAGTAGAAATGAAATAATGCACTTACAAGGGAACAGGATTGGCAGAATGAGAAAACAAAAAAAACAACCTGGACGTTTATAACGCTGTACACATGTTCAGTTAACATCCTTCAAAACACCCAACACACCCTGTAAAGGTTGCATCAATCTAAAATAAAAAACGTACAATCAGTTCAAGGTCACAAGACAAACGCTTTTTGTTCCTTTTGACCCTTTCATAACAGAGGCACTCGCCCTTGAACTGGGAGTACAATCAAGATGCAGGGGAATAAAAAAAAAAAAGACCAAGGAAAACATTATTTGGACCTCAGTTACACGGGCACACCAGCTGCAGTTAAGTCGAGGTTGCTTCAGCCTGCACAAAGTAAATCCTGTTATGTGAAACGCCTGATTGCAAAGTCACAAACAGTCCACTTCAACTGAATTTCAAGCTGTCGCTTAATTATTCTGTTTCTGTTCACAATGGTTACGTTCAGTTACACGGACAATGTTACTGTGTACATGCACTCGGCATGGCTCATAGTGACGGCAATTATGTTTTCCACGCGAGTGAGCGTAACTGTTGCAGGCCACAACTGAGGTTCAGCATAACTATGACCATTTGTGCAAGAGTAACTAGGCTCAGCTTACCTGGTGTTGGTGCGCCCACATAAATAAGGCACTACTGTACAGACGGAAGAAAACCGTGGAAGACAAAGTGCACCTTTTCTTTGATTGCCGTTCACATGGGTGTTTATAATAAGACTGGGCACCTTGTGGTCAAAACAAGAGGCGTTTTGTGTGTATATGTATATGCCTGTGGCCGCACGTGCAGCGATGTGAGGTGCGCACGCTCGAGGCGAGATGGACATGAAGTGCCTAGGAGTAGCAAGCCAGGTGAGGCGCGTGACAGCCACCCGCGAAAAAACGTTGGCTGCGTCGCGTCGTGGCAATCGAAGACTGGATTCTGGCAGCTGGCAGGCACCCTTTGTTAGGCACTGAAATGAGTCACTGCACTCTTCCGAGCTCCAGCGTCCACGGACATCATAGGAGAGTGCATGTAAACCGGGTTCTCTTTCGCACGGGCTCAACAGAGTGTAGGTGCGGGCCTGTTGGCTTCGGCTGCGCCCGAGCCGCCTGGAAGAGAGGGCAGTACCGTACGTCAGCTCATGCGGCCTCCCCTTACATAAGTGCAAGGTTTGATCATAGTATCAAATGACTGGAGGTTTGATGCCTAGCATAGCCCCTGAGGGAGGAGGTTGTCCCGCTCAATCACGTGCGGCTGGAAGGACTACTGCATATTCCAAGCTGCGTACGACTTTAGCATGACACAGATGCGGAAACGTGAAATGGAGATGTGAAAGTTGCAGACTGGCATGTCTATGTCACATGCGCTCCTTCTAACCTCGCCGATCGTTACCCACGAATTCGATTCTGTATCTAAAGAAGAGTGCAACGCTCCGACTGGAAAAGCAGAATGAATCGCAATAGAAAAAAAAAAGACAGAGGCAGGCATTTTTATGGGAACGTGACGCATTCGCCTTCAGTTCTGGCAGTTGGGAGAATACATGGGGCTACAATGCTTACAGATGATAGCCGAGACTAGATAAGAGTGTGTACACTTGAACAGTGAATCTCACCTACTGGAAGCATGGTAACAGGACAGTTATGGTAAACTTCTAACTTGAATAATAATTAACCAAATGAAAAGATTCTTCTTGGTAAAACCCTCTCTCGACAGAATTGCCCTGCTTTCAATGTGAAAAGGAGATTTGCAATGGGGCCAAATGAAAAGTAATTCAGGTTTAGCATTCGGGTTTCAGTGGCAAGGCAAGGCGTAGCCATAACCATTCTCCTTGAGACTGCAGGTTTTCAGCACTGCCCAACTGCTGCCAATCAATGATAAACCTTAATCTCTACTTAATCAAGTCCTGTACCCAATGGGTGCCATTCCATTTCCATGTATAAAAAAACACACAAAAACTCATCTATACTGAAATTCTCAATGGCACTGACAATAAATGAGAAGTGGCTCAAACCATGTGACATGCAAGTAGGGCATGCCAATCGTGCAGAAAATAAGTCTTCTTCAAAATCTATAGTGTCAGATGACATAGAAGAAAATGTGCAACATGCCAAATGTACATGCAAGGAAATCACAATAGGTTACTCAACACTTACAACAAAACATGTGCACACGTCACACTGGCGGCAATGAGGCTTGTCAGCAGACCGACGCACAAACCAATTTGGCTTTTTAAATTTATTGCACACCCAAAGCACAATGCTGCTTTAAATGCTTTTGTGATGTCCTAAATGCAATTGTTTTAAAAGAGTAGGCACCGACGCAAGAAAGAATGCAAGATACGTCAAGTCAATGTCCGCGTTTGCATGCCCAGCCGTTCTGGAACGAATTCTTGCTATTTCAAGTCTCTGTCATCAAATGGAATGCTGCAGTTTGTCATAGCTAAATCTTTGGCATAGACATGGCCATAGCTTTGCCTTCTTACCATACTGGACGTGGTGTCATACACATTTGTCGGCGTCTCCTTTTTTGTGCTTTATTCATTTTTCGTGCCGTCAATATCTTGTGTCACACCAGTCCTAACACCACATGAGAACGCCAATGAGAAGCGCTACTCCCTTCGGTCAACGTGCCAAACTGACAGTCAAAGCCTCGCTCGCCTGAAGTGCAAAGCCCGGCCAGAGCCTCATATATTCCTCGGCCAGTGCAATCACTCCTGCAGCGCCATTCACACAATATTGCCCCACCCACAATAATGCCCAATGTTGTTCTTACTTTCATACATCTTCTTTATATTGAAGGCCAACTGCAATGAAATTTCGCACACCTCAAAACGCAGATGTACATTGCAGCCTAGCTAGAGGAGGTAATGCTACTTGCCAAATATCCGCTTTGAAAGGCAAGAGGTTATCCAAGAAGAAAACCTACCAACAATATTTTTGATACCAAAACTAGAAAAATACCAACACTATCACAGCTGACAGAAGCAATGCCGTTCCCAGCCTGACAGACCGACCAATGCGGGCAAGTCATCTTATGCTCCAAAACATGTGCTTCATGGCCGTACCCAAAGCTTTCTTTTTTTAAATGTTGAAGAAAAAAAAAGGCTATGTAAACATGCACCATGTATGAAAAAAAGATACATGCTCATAGCTATTCTTGCGCTTATTGCAGCATTTCTCGAAGTAACTGCTAGGCACCTATTGTCTTGTCCTACTGCCTTGGAGAACTGGCTGGTTTCAATATATTTACATGCTTGAAATGTTGAAACCACGCTAGGTATATCGAGCACAACTATATCTTGGTCAAAGTTTGCTGCTTTGACTACCTGCAACTAAATGGCAGACTAATCAGCTCTTACAACCTTGATTACTTGTGCAGAGCTGCCGCAGTAAAGTTGCCCCACTTGCAAGTTTAGTGCTACGCGGGTCTTCATCGTCTTACCGGCTTTACGCTCTCTTTGTAATGGTGTTACACTAGATTGAAGCGTGTGAAACACACTATTGCAAGTGTTTTATGCTCTACTAAAACCGTCTGATACAAATAACTTTTGACGCCGGCACTTCTCCGAACACTAGCCAGAACTTCCTGTTCTTGTGTTTGCAGAGGATGAATATTGAAGGCACTGCTTCAGGATTGAGAATGGTTTTTTTTTTCATTTTCAATGGTATTCAGTCGAAGAGAAATGGCTTGCACACAATGTCATCACCTTTAAAGAGCACCACGCAAGGCCCCACACTTTTCTACAGCTCTCATTTCTTCCACCTCACTGCAATCACTTGCAGCCTTCCGAGCTTTACATTTTTTTTTTTTCAAAAGCATGAAAGCTGGTCCCGGCCGTGACATATGTGTTCCAGTAGCCTGCAGCTGTACATATCGATGGCATCGTACTACAAAAGCATCTAAACTCTTTTGAATCACAGGCCGGCATCACTCAAAAGAAGAACGGGTGCGGCTGCAGTGAATTTGGCTCATGAACATTGGTGGGATAGGATTTACGTCATTTCTGTATATGTTCGATTTGCCCAGGCCCTTTGCTAAAGTGCCGCGTCGTCTGCGCATTTACAATAAGAGCACCAATTACAGCTGTGAATTTTGATGGCATCGTACTACAAAAGCATCGAAACCCTTGAATCAGTCAATAACAGACCGACGTCGTGCAAAAGAAGAATGGGTGCGGTTGCAGTAAATTTTGCTCAGAGCGTTGGCGGGATAAGATTTACGTCATTTCTGTATATGTTCGATTTGCCCGTGCCCATTGCTAAAGTGCCGCATTGTCTGCGAGTTTACAATTAAAGCACCAATTAGAAGTTAAGTATGTTATTAACTGCTAGATTTTTCATTGTCATTATCGTTACTTACCCAACATATACTACACATTATGAGCCAATTCTGCTGTTTCGTTGCAGTTGGCCTTTTAACGCTGTTTATATTTCCACTCCTGTATGAGTCTTTGTGGCTTACATTACTAAAAAATAAAATCAACTTCCTTGCTCAACCTAATCCCACAGCTTTACAACAGCACTACTATGTCAACGTTACCCAGGTACCATGCGAGACTTAGCCAAGAAGCAGTCACTAAAATGATAAAAGTAACAGCGGCCTAATGTACAACAAAACTCATTGAGCCACACTTGACCAATTACGGTTTAAACAAACATGCCAGCAAAACACTTGCACAGCATGCCCTTTCTTTTTTTCAACATGAAGCATAACTTCTTTGAATGAGAAAATTATTAGTGTGTCTAAGCGTAGAATTAACATCATACAACTATTACTGACACTAATGTCCATGACTGCGCACAGACATGTGCTGGTTGGCTGGTTTTTGCTATCGCTGAATAGGTTTGCCAGGATGAAGTCTGTCAGTTACCATAATTCAATTAAAGAATGAACATGCCCAGGCTGACTGCTTTGGTTCTAATTTGCTTCTGCGACTCACCCTCCATGATGACAGAAAGAACTGTATGGTAAAACCATATTCTGCTTATGAACATCTCGAGCTCAGCATGAAGAATAGGAACAGTTTACATTTATTATAACAAACAGCTGTTTCATTTGGTACTGTGTGGCCTAAGAAAATCCCACAGTTCTGCATAAATGTCCTCATTTCTATGTTTAAAAGAATGCCACATCATTCAAAATTTATTTGCAGACGATACTCCTCAGCTAAAGGCTGAAAGATATGAGCAAAATGGGTTTAGAATATTCATTTTTGTTGTATTTACATAGTTATGAATCCAGATTATTGTGATATGCTGCATTGCTTTGCAACTCTCTCAGTTTAGTAAAAATCTGGCTCCTTGAGAGCAGTGTCCCCCTTTAAGACAGAACTGATAGCAGTGGTGTGCCCTTTGCTGCTTTCTAACAACTTTTTTTTTAATGACCACTTACTGTGATCTTTGAAAGTCATCATCTGACAATGGTGACAGAGGGGCAATAGAGGAGTAGCAATGAGACACACTGGAGGCGCCGCCAACCAACAATTGGACACCTTATTCGGGAGAGCACTGTGGACTCCTCACTGCATGCTGCCAAATGATGTATACAGGGCTAGTATTGACTGTAGATACCAGTAATCTCGAAATGCTCAAAGAACAATATGCAGTCTTTTAATTGAAACCAGGAGATGATCATCACCTGTGACATGTAGCTGCTCAAAGCACCACATTCCACCCCAAATTAAAAATAAAATAAAAACACTCACACTGTATAAAACTTCTCATTTTGCTCCTTTAAATGCCATCTATTGTACTTAAAAAGCTATGTAGCATGCTTCAGTGCTCTGATATGACTACAGAAAAAAGAAAAAGATACCATGAGGCAATAGGGGAACGACTGGGTAAACATGCTCCACACTGGCACTACCAGCTAGTATTCATGCTTTGCGTGGCAAGATAGACCGACTCTCGCACAGCAGGCTGTTAGTCCTGATGCTCACTTGTGTGAGACGACTGGTTACCTTATGCGCTCCCATCATGGAACCCAGCTAGAGTTGAAATGAGGAAGAAGAGAAAAGGAGGCAACAGACGATTCTCAATCACAAAGCGAACATGTATAGCAGTATAGACAGAGAACAGAAAGGATTTAACAACAGCGAACGTGTACGATTCAGACAGCACAAGACATGGCAGCTAGCTATGTGTACCTTCGATGCAAGCCATAAAGGCATGAAAAAAAAAAAAAAAAGAGGTGATTATTGTAGTCTTGAAAATTGTGCATTTTGTTAAGCATCAAGACATGACTGCCTAGTTCAGGAATTTTGAAAGAGTCAGTATTGAACAGTAATTGGCCTTGAACACTAATATCCAGAAACTAAGCAAGTTTGCTGTAACATTCATAAACTGTGTTTTGCAAGTCAGTGGCTGTTCTGTGTCCAGCAGCACTACTACTTGCTGGTTGGGCTAGTTCTGATTGAAAAGCCTGAAAAATCAGTTAGTAATAAAACAACCATGTTGAAAAGAACACTTTTCCTGTGCACATCTATCTCTGCTGTCCAGTGAACAGGTAAGGAAATGACAAGGCAAAAAGAAATGTTCTTCCTGTCCAGTCACATCCTCATTTTCTTTTCTGTCTGTCTCTCACTGCGAGGTGTATTCCATGTCTCTTTGATGTGCTGTGTGAAGCTTCTGCTTATGGATATGGCCCCAACGAATTCCTAGTCACAGAAAAAGAACGAAAAAAAGGAGGGGTCATTCTTACCACCTTTCGTTCCATTTTCTCCTTAATGTCTCTCGCAAGTGTGTAGAAAGCCTCCTCCACATTTATTGATGACACAGCACTGGTCTCCATGAACTTGATGTTGTGTTCTATAGCCAACTGCAAGCAAAACCAAAGTACCATGTTGACTTGTGACGGACAGATTACAGGCAAACAGCTTGGCATGGCATGGATGTGAGGGAGGATGGGGGGGTGAGGGAATTCCTTAAATTTGAGCTTGCTCCCAACACCATTCAGCATTTCAAAGCAAATGCTATAAGTAGTTCCTGCAGAAGAAGCCCCCTGCCACCCTGAAGAAGAACTTTTCTCTCACTGTAGCTGGCTCCAGACCCAAGATCATGGTACCAACTCTGGGTACAAAGAGAAAGGCACTTCGTATATTTTCTCTTGTTGTGAAACGTTACTGTATGAACCAACAGACAATGATGCCAAAGAAATTATAAAAATGCTATTAGAAGTAAATGTCATGTAAATTTGAATAAAAAAAAGTGGACAAAAAGATAACTTGCTGCTGGTTTCCAAACATTCCACAGCAGCCTACGTGTAGTGATGGTTGCATGTCTAACAGTTTTTCTGAGTGAAGCCAAGTCACATGAAAATAAAAAGAGTACACATGGCAATATGATGGAGTAAAAACACACTTAGCATTGTTTCTGTACACTACTTATTTTGCCGTCACTTCGTTGTCCATTAATTGGAATTAGAGCGCAAAAGTGCAAGTATGCATCATAAAAATGGGGTGGTAGTCCTGCCTATTTCTCTGTAATCCGCATTTGAAGCACTGTGGAACTTTACTCTTGGAACTGCCAAACTCGATATCCACCCCATAGCAACTAGATGCTTATTACTGAGCATGTAAGGTGAAAGTCCTAAGATGAAGCCCCTGCCTCAGCAGCACCATCTGGTGCATGCAGGTTGCGAAGCATGGAGTGAGACTGCAAGACTGAAGTATACATATGGCCAGACACCAATTGAAGTAGCCATATGTGCAGTGTACATTAAGTCCATGTAACTTTTAAAAAACTTATGCTGGCAGAATGTCAGAAGCAGACTGAGCATCAATATATTGCCACAGAGACTGTTTACAATATCCGACATTAAGAAGAATCAGCGTCCACAGTCTTGTGCGCACTCTAGCTTGGGCCCGCGCTACTCATGCCTCTTGTTCACAGGCACGAGTCAGTGTGGGTTGGAGCTGCGAAGAAGAATAAGGTGCGTTGGCAGATGAACAGTTTTTGTTTTGGAACGCTCTAGCGGACTCTTCCATCTTTTCGCACATAATTTTCAGGGCACAAGTTTGCCCATAATAAACTAGTTTTTGACGTTTATTCTCTTGCACCCGTTACAATATGACTTCAGATCTGCTAGCAGTGGTGCCAGTATTGAGAAGCAAAAACCTTGCCCTCCTCCACTGCCCTCCCATCTTTTTTTTTTTTTTTTTGCTGAAAATATTACATTCATATTCGAGACATGAAGTATACTGCTGGAACAAACTCTCGTAAATAAACTTCAAATTTTGATTACAACAGCGTGACATCTTCAATACAGTTTCATAAGGTGGGACCGTGACCCTGTCAAGGGTTCCAATTTCACAAAAGCTTAAATGCTGTGGTCCTAGTGTATCGTACATTGGCTGTTGTATGTGATAAGAGTCTTTGTGTGGCATGAATAATGAATCTGTTTGCATGCAAAATGGCAATGTGTCTGTGCCCCATGCAAACATGTGATCAATACACCGAACTCATGTGTTTAGTAGCAACCCAAATGCAGTACAAAAAAGATACGCTTAACTTGCTACAATAAAAGAGTGTTTAATTTAGTAGTACCTTCTCTCCGCGCTCTTTCGAAACTTGTCTGAGTTCGTTCATGTCGCACTTGTTTCCGAGGATCATCTTCTCAACGTCCGCAGCTGCATGCTGCACAAATGATGGAACAAAACGTTGAAACAAGGTGGCCTAAGTTTTAATGGCACGAGTTGCGCGAGCAAGACACACATTAGAAGAGATACGAGCGTCACATTAACGTGCCTCATCTGTATTCCTGATCCACGTCTTTATGTTTTCGAACGTCGCTTCCTTTGTGACATCGTACACGAGCATGATGCCCTGCATATGGCAAGAAAAGCAAAAACCATTTAACGCACAAGCACGCAACAATGTTATGTCGAGGCTCACCATTGCCCCCCTGTAGTAGGCGGTCGTTATCGTGCGGAAGCGCTCCTGACCAGCCGTGTCCCTAAAAAAACCGCAAAAAAACACAAACGCATTGACAGACACTACAGAGACGAGCGACGGCGTGTAAACGAGCCGACGAACTTACCATATCTGCAGCTTGATTTTCTTCCCGTCGATTTCGATAATCCGTATCTTAAAATCGATACCTGCGATCGTAACACAGACGCACACGTTAACCGGCCGCAATGAACAGAACTGGTTTTTTCAGTGTCACGAATTTCACGTCGACTGACGCCACATCGCTCGTCCCGACTATATAAACGCCACTGCTTACAGTGCACTTAGCGTTTCATTTGTTTCAGCGTCGTGAAGGCGATCTTACCAATACCTGATATGCGCCGATATCATGACAGAGAAAGTCCACATTTCGAGTCACAAGCATTTGATAACGGTATTACTGAGGGCCGACACGAAAACCACTGCGTTTAACTGCGAAAGCACGGAAGGGAGCAATCATCGTCGCTAAACAATGGATCGGGAAGCGATTATAGATCTTCGGTATAGATCTTTAACAACAATTTAATACCCCAATATGGATATTTATGCTGGAAGCAACGAAAGCCGCTAGCACACAGGAGACACTCGCGAGGTACGCAAAAAAATCCGAGTTAAGACGAATGAATTGGTGACAGGTTACCTATTGTCGATATGAAGCTTCCGTCGAACTTGTTATCGGAAAACCTGAACAAAATGGACGTTTTACCGACTCCAGAATCTCCTATGAGAAGCAACTTAAACAAAAAATCGTACGATTTCGCCATGTCAAGCAACTAAACCGGAAAAGAAGACATGCGTGTCGTCACTTCCGAAAAATCTCAATGTTTTCTACACCTAAAGCGCAACCCGGTATTCCAGAGTCAACACTGCATTTATTTTGCAACATTACTGCAAATACTTATCACACAAAATTTTATGCAATATATTAGCATTGTTCAAGCTAGCTTTGCGATAAAGTTGAGTGTTAGAAGGTAGAAATGTTGGTAAGCCAAAATTGTAATCTATATAATTTGTTTTTTATTAATTTTAGATAAGAAATATTTGTTTGAAGCAAATTTTTGCTAACAAATATTAAGTGTTGTTTCAAATCCTAAAGCATTAAAAATTTTGTAGTACAATTACCGAAACCAAAAACCAAATTGAACACTGCAAGCCGCATCGCGCTCCAATCAAGCCCCTTCGCGTAAATAATTCGCCCCGTTTCTCATCCTTTTCGCCGTGTGTACTCGAGTCGGCAATCATGCCTGTGAGTGTCGTGTCAAACTAATAATCTGTTCTCGTGGTAGTTTGTGGTTACTGAAGCCGGCATCGCACTCATTCAGTAAAACGAATGCCGCTTAAGCTCCCTGTTGCACAAGTGTTTTGCGGCGAACTGTCGCTATTTCACTCGCATTGTGGTCACGTTGCGGCTACTAAGCCTAAGTGCGGCGCGGATTTGCCCAAACGTGTACCGGCCATGTCTGCCTACGGATTACAGTGCAATGCGACGCATGCAGTACCGGCGTGCCCTGAAGATCCGCACTTTGTCGACGCTGTTGCGCTTGAGAAAGCGACAAGAAGCGCTTACCTGTCGACAGGAGCTACGGAATATGCAGTGGCGCAGATGGTGCCGTTTATATGGTGCCGCTCATATGTTTACTTGTTTGTTTTCCTTGCAGCTCGCTAAGGACTTGCTGAATCCCTCGCCTGAAGAGGAGCGCAGGAAGTGCAAGCTAAAGCGGTTGGTCCAGCATCCCAAGTCATTCTTCATGGACGTTAAATGCCCTGGTATGTGCCATCCCGCGTCAGTTTTGTCAAACTATTACGACTTGGTCGGAAGTTTTGACATGTCGTTGCAAGTTACCGGACACGAAATGGCCGCATGCTTTCTGTGCTGCCCGTTGTTGCTCGATTGAGCTGAGGACTTTTTAAAGCGCTGAAACGTGCTCAAAGAAAGCGGGAGTAACGGCGGTAACCCGGTGATCGACTAAAATGCCCGACGTGCCACCATCAAAGCATGTGTTCATGTGCCAGTAGTGACTAGCTTGGCTACATATGGTATATAATTAAAAAATTGCAAAACCTGCATCTCAAGGACAGTGAGTGTGTAGCAACCGGAAGTCCTATGATGGCTAAGTAGGTTTTTAGGCACCAGGCGTGTTTTGACAGATTTCATCAGAACTGTACAATCGATGAGAAATTGATGGGATTTAGGGATTCGCGTATTATCTCGCACGCTTTTATGAGTGAAATGTAGGGATATGTCTGCTGGAGGCTTCGTTCGTGTTGCACGTGTGGCTGCATGTTAAATGTGATGTTAAGTTCGTTTGACGACTGAGGGACACGTGATTATAGCTTCAGTCATCGTGTTGTCTGGCGCTCGTGAAGTCCGTGACCCGCTTCGAAAAGTGGCTTGTTTTCTATTATGCTGTTTCAGGGATACACTAACTCTCAAAATTTGACTTTTCTTTGTTCTTGCAGGATGCTACAAGATCACTACAGTGTTCAGTCATGCCCAGACAGTAGTACTGTGTGTTGGATGCTCCACAGTTCTTTGCCAGCCAACAGGGGGCCGGGCTAGGCTAACTGAAGGTAATCATCGCACGACCCTTTCACAGGCTGGTGGTGCATTAATCATGACTTTCAATGAAAGATCTGTACCGCATTTCTTTTTATTCACAAGGAAAAATTTATGCCTAACAGTAGTTACGCAGTGTGTGCACCAATTCTTCAATTGTTGATGCGCCGTGTGCCGAAAACTTAGTTTTTATCTAGTGACATTCCATGCAGGAAATTTCACTTATCCACACAGGGTGGCTTCATAGTGAAAGAAATGCTTCAGGATGTGGTAGGTGTAAAGATGTTGAGAGGAACTTCATTAGACCGGCTCTACACGCACGGCGTCTTGTCTCTTGGGGGAAGCTAGTATATGCATGACGTGACTGAAGTTCTGTGGCGCGCCTAGCCGCAGTTGCAGTAAACATCCTTTTTGGACTCTGCGCGATCGGACCCCTGATCGGCAACTGCGCCGTTATGTTCGAAATTCACAGTTTCTGCTGTAGCCAGGCAGCCCACCTCTCCCCTCCTTTACCCGACACTTCGTCCCGCGAAAGACTGCTGTGGCATTTCCATTGGGCCATCATCGACTGCAGGCTTGTGCGTGGGGAGATTCAATCGCATGCACCCATCATGTAATGGAAGATTTCCAGCTCGTGTAAAACATGTTTCACACTCGTTTTCCCTAGCGATTGTGTGCTTATACTTGTGCTTAAAGCATTTGATGCGTGGGCGATGGTATCATTTTGGACTTTATATGGAGCCTGATGGCAACGGTAGAAATCCATTGCGCACAGTGTCCATATATGTCCTGTCGCATTAGAAATTAACATTTAAGCTCTTAATTCCATTTGTACATGTCAGCAGGTGTGTTTCCTCACTTTATAAACATTAAAAAGTTTCTCAAAAGTGTAGGCAATTTTAGCCATTGAGTGCAATGCTTAGCTCTGTTTTCCTTTCAACTTCATGTTTGCTACGGCAATTGAATGATGTCAGCTTTATGAATTTATCATTGTAGTCTCACTGAATTTAGAAACGAAAGTAACTGTTACTAGATTCTCTAGTCTCCAGTTGCTCATGTCGGCGGAAGTGGTGAATGGTTTTCATTCGCCTGAGGCTTAGTAGAATTCAGCTATCCTAAACATCACTTAACCCTTACTCTAAGTTATTCTTCTGTAAGCTGTAATGTAATAAATCATGGGGGCACATGTACATACACATACACCAATTTTCGCCAAGTTTGGTAGGCTAATCTTGAATACTTTTTAAAGTCCAGCAGAATCTTTTTGTGTTATTAAGAAGTAAACAGTTCAGTCAACAATGATACTTTACCCTAGAAGTCTGCTCCAAGACTAACTTGCATTGCCGAAAAACACCTTTTTGTGCTTTGAGGCTGCCCCGAAAGTCCCACTTCGCTGCTCCAAAACAGCATTCCCGCTTTCAGAGCTGCTCCGAATGACTGAGGCCTGCTTCCACCCCTGTACACTCTTTAAATACATGCGGGATGTTCGGCCACTGTGAGGATTTCACTGACACAGCATCGAGACAGGGTTTACAGATCTCTGCTTTAGATGATTGATTTCCTTTTTTTTCTTTATATAGTTAGTTTTTTGTATTGCTCTAATACTCATTCTTTTGGCACTAACAGTGCAAAAAAATGAGGTATTTTAAGTAGTCTTAACATGAATTGTCAAATTTCAATTCTGTGGAACTTTGGCATTTATTTGTAAATTAGATTTTTGCCTAATTCATTATACGGATGCATTAACCTCACAAACAACACTGTCAATGTATAATGAGCTGCAGGTCATCTCATTCTCTTATTGCCACTGGCCATGCACAGCTTTTTCTTGGGTGATGCAAATATGAGGGTTATAGTGGTGTACATATAGACTAACCATTGTTAGAGAAACAAGTCTGTATTGACTACAGTCGACTACATATCACATAACAACAGGGCGTGGTACTGAACACACTCCTGTTGATGTTTACTATTTATGTGTAGTGGCTGTTACCAGCAGCACTAAGTAGCACTAAGAGGCCGTTGCTCTCTGGTTCGTGCGAGGTTTTCGGCAGTGGTGTGCACTTTTTTTTTTTGCCTATGGCAGTTCTTGCTACGCACTGGTTTTTGAACACCAATGATTGCACAAAACCGCACAAGCTGCTCGTGTCGGAGGCCGATCGCACGCGGTGCGACCACCACCTTGGCATAGACCATACCTTGGCATAGACAGGAGTCTATCATTATTGTCGGAGGCAAGAATTCTCATGTGCTCACTTCTTGAAAGGATGTCTTTCCGTATTTGTTGTTACTATAATGTTGCGAATGTATGGAGTTGAAAGCGTTGCAAGGCTTTAAGGTACGCCAACACTAACGTTGAAAATATTGTAGACTCTCAATCTTTCAAACGGAACTGTTGCTTAAATGGAAAAGGTGCTTTCATCAAAATTGCTAATTGTATGTGTACCCTTGTTTCGATGTTGCCAGATCTTCCTGAACAAATAAGTGAATTCTAGTCACAAAATTAGCCCAAAAGCAACGGGAGCATGATGTCCCGTTCTTGAAGATATTTTTAATTATCATTAAAGAAAATATGAAATAAGAAGGGCAGTTTTAAAAACCACCTTAAGTTTTGTACATTGAAAATGTGTCCAATTATCAACGAATGCCCATAGCTACTTTTTAATATTCTCTCCAAGTGTGCCTATGGAAGCATATTTGCCATGTTCTGGCTAACTTGCCTCCATTCGGTTGAAGGCACATTTGCCACTGTGAGGTTTATGGCAGATGCTCCTCGAAAAACTTTTTCTTTGGATATTTGTGACAGCTCAATGAAACTTTCACCAGTTATAGAGTTCGAGCTCCTCTTTTCCAATCGGCTTTTATTTTTTTATGGCTCATTTAGTTAATTTTTCGCAGACCATGCATTTGTAAAAACAATGCATTTTTGTGCAAGCTTAGGCAACAATAGTAAGCATAAGAAAGCTCTAAAAAAATAGCAAATGTTGCTCCTACTGAATTGCAGAATTCAATAAAGCAAAGAAACAATGTGTAACATTTGTGTGCTGGCCTATAAAAATATTCTAATGCTGAGTTTGAGTTTTACCACACTCAAGGAACAAGCTTTTGAAATTATCTAGCTGAATATGCTTTGGAGACCTCTGAAAGTTGTTTATTTGAATTCGGGGCATGTTAAACTTTAAGCATGCCAAGTTTCATTGCAATCCGACTAGTAAAGCAT